TCGCTTCCCGCTCCCCTCGAGACGAGTAAAGCCGGTGCTGTCCCCTCTAGGCGTCCCGTTTTGAGATCATTGACTGGAATATTGCCTCACCGACCAGCTCAATCCTGGAAGGTTCCTCAGTGCTTCTTACATTTTGATCCCCCCCAACCCCTTTTCTTAAACTCTTGAGACAGGATCTCATCCTAGAGCAAAAACTGGCTTAAACTTGTGGCAATCCTCCTGCCTCAGCCTCCCTCTCCACTGCTGGGATTTCAGGCAAGCGCTTTAATCCAAGCTGACGCATTTAATTGGTAGCAACTCCCTTGTCATTCTACCATCCCGAGTCTAGAAGGCTAACTAGATGTCAGATGTCTTATTGATCAATACCCCTCTCTAGCGATTCGGGGCGCTATTGATTCCTGTCCTGGTCTGCGGAGAGTTGGGGCTGATGTTCATGTGACAGATGTGTCAGGAAGGTCGCTGGTGACTGGCTCACTAAAGCGGATCCCACTCGAGCGCATTTATGACTTGGGTCATGCCGGCTGAGGTCAGTGGATGGTGGAAAGGGTGAGGTCATGTTGAAAAATCCCCCTAAACCGGACACTGTGATGCACGTTCTTCCCAAGGAAGCAGATAAGCGAGCGGCCTCGGACTGCAGCAGGCACATTTTAGGTTTCCTGCCCGATTACAGAGGATATGACTGACCAAGAGACGCTCTTTTTCGGTCATAACAACAGATCGGGCCAGGACACCTGAAAAGACTCCTGAAGACACACGTGACAAATGACAGCTGCGTTGCCTGAGAGACTGTGTAGCCAGGCCCTCGGAAGCCAGCTTCTTCTTTCTCTGTCAGTTTCAAAGGGGAAAGGCGGTGGATGCCTGTCTGGTTTTGTGGATGTTTTTTGCTTCTGGTTTTGGCCTCGTGCAGCTGGAGAGCTTCCTGTGTGTTAGGGAGCCAGGGGTAAGAGGTCAGCCCAGTGAGAGGCCTGAGCACAACTTTAAACTTAAAAACCAACACGAAGTCAATCAGTTACTGTCATTTGGGCTGGTGACGGAGAAGCCCATGACTCAGAACCCTGGCTGCAGTAAACAATACCTGAAGTGGACTTATCTCCGGTTACACCCACCCCAACTAGAGAGTGGCCCTGAACCTACAGAGTAGAACGTCTGCAAAGGGGCCTCAGCTCACAGCTAGCATCCACGAATTGCTAGGGTCAGGCCTACTGTGAGACAGAGCCTGTCGTGAATGAATGATAGCTATAAAGCCTTGACCACCGTTAGAGATGACCTGTTCTAGAGCCAGGAAAAAAAAAAGTAGCTTCTACGTAGGGACAGGCAGGTAGTGCGAAGCCCCCGAGTTACCTCCAGCTTCTAATATTAAGTCTTTTGCCAAAACCGAGAAGGGAAATACGTCTGTTAGATTAACCATCTTCGTTTTCCTGAGGTGTGCACAGCATAATGGAAAAGCAAGGATGCCTAGGAGGCAGGAAGGGATTCCGGCCCGGCCAGTTCTTGTTGGGACATGTAGTAAGTACAGCAGAGAAGCTGTTCAAAGTCCCAAGTGGAACCTTGCCTTGGAACAAATTTGGCTTGTGTTGAGCCTGGCTGCTCTAACCAGCGTTTCTGAAAAGAAACCCTTAAAGCCCGGCTTGGGGTTTGGCTGCTGCTCATAACTGGTGATCAAGATACTTTGTAAATCATAAACATGAAAGTGAGTCCGTTTAGTGGTTCTTCAAAAGTTAAACATAGAATTGCCACGTGACCCAGTAGTTCCACGCCTAGGTATGTATCCTAGGTATGTGTGTATCCTAGGGTATGTATGAACGCTGCTCAGGCAAAAACTTGGGCAGCCATGTTCATAGCAGCGCTGTTAAGAATAGCAACAAAATTAGCGAATGAAATTTAAAACGACCCAAATACCCCTTGGTGAATGAATGGACAAACAAAATGGGATCCATTCAAGTAATAGATTGTGCAGTGATAAACAGGGTGACAGTATTGATAGAACGGCCTGGGAGGTGGCTCAGGGTTTAAAGTGCCCTTTGTCCAATCACAAGGACAGTAGTTCCAATCCCCCAGAGCCCATGAAAATGTCAGGTGGGCATGGTGGCTTGGAAGCCAGAGATAGGATTCCAGAACAAGCTGGCTAGCCAGATGTGTCAAATCAGCACACTCTGGGGCCAAGTGAGAGAACCTGCCTCGAGGAATAAAGTACACTCACATGCACACACATGTGCCCATGCACACACAATGTGTGTGGGGGAAGGGGGACACAACGACACTGACATATGTTACAAGAATCGACTTTGAAAACATTACCCTTAGCGTGGGAGGCTCATACTGTATCACCTGGTTTCTGTGAAATATCCAGACAAGGCAAACCCGCAGAAACAGCATAGCAGCGGCTGCCAGGGGTTGAGAGGCAGGGAAGAAAGGGAGGGAGTGCTTAATAGATTGTTTCCTTTGAGGGTGATGAAAGTGTTTGGAAACCAGATAATGGTGTTGGTGACAGAACACTGTGAATGAACCCAGAGCTGAACTGCGTATGCGAAGATGGCCGAAGGATAGTTCTATATGTTAGGTGCATCTTGCTTACTATAGAAGGAGAAGAAAAAGCAAACCAAGAAAGAGTTATTTTACGTAAATGTTATTTGGCATCGTTTGACACCGAAGTTATGAAAGTGCCCTCGTGTGTAACATTAATGAATGAAAGGGCCATTGTGTAACCTCTAATGAATGAAAATGCTACGGGGTGCAACCTGTCGTGAATGGAGGTGCCATTGTGTTAAATACAGTTTAAGAGATTAGCAGCAGAAGCGGCTGCCTCCACTTACACTGACATGGCATTGGTGGTATTTTCAGTTACGTTTTTCCTAAAGAAAAATAAAATAGCCTAGCGTCTAAGGGAGGGCCGAGTCTCCCTGTGTGAACTGAACCCGCTGGATGCTGTCTCTAACAGGTCCAAATGTTAATTTGCTGGAAAGGTTGCTATCGTGGCCAGCCAGTTAATCCATATGCAAAAGAGTGGTTTATGGTTTAGGCCAGCCCTACCCCCCAAGCTGGGTTGCGGTGATAGGAACCCTTGAGCAGTTGTGGTGTTCTTTCTGGAAGGTCAAAGTTTAGAGGCAAGACGAAGGAGCCCTTCCCCACCTGCTGTCTTCCTTGAAATCGACACGTAATCTTTCTCTGGGAGCTGAAAGGCTCCTGTTTTGTAGTTCTGGTTTATTTTTAATTTTTAAAAAATGGTATTACTGAGCTTATTTACCAGTCTTTGTGCCAAATAACTTTGGCCTGTTTACAAAAATCAGGATTATCCCCAAAGGACAAAAAAATGTGTCACCCTCAGACATATTCAAAAGAATGTGCCAGAGGCTCCAGGACCAGTTCCAAAGAGCAGTTTAAAAAAAGAAGAAGAAAGGTCTTTCATTTGAATGATGGGAAATATAATTTAAATAAATGCGTTGCTTGCCAAGGTGACTACTTACTAGTCAAAGTGGGGCAACACCCATTTAGAAGTGTTTATTTAAAAATCAGTCACATCACTGGGTAGTTAGACCTTGAGTTAATTTTCCAATGGGGACAATGACACATCCAACACTCGCCTTTCTCGACTCTGCCATTTCACCCTTAGTCTAAAATAGATGGATCATAATCTTTCCTTACAGAGAAAGCAGGCGTGAGTTCTCTTCTGTATCCTTCTCCCTTCTAGAAAGGGAGAGGAATAGCGAACTCCTACGTGTGCTCCCCTCCCCACCGGCCCAATAACACAAGCCTTGCAGTGTGCAGTGTTTAAAATGCCTACAAGCACTCTGACCTACTTCATCTCATTCACTCCTCACAATGGCCTGACTAGGAACACCCAGCCCCAGCCTCACGCTCTTTGGCCACTGCACCCAGCTGCCAGGAGGAAAAGCTTAAAGGACTCCCTCAAACTTCTGCAGCCAATGGCAGAGTCTGCCAGAACTGGAAGCACCCTATTTTGATTGGTGGGGGAAGGGAGGGCGTGAGACAGGGTCTCTGGCAGCACAAGCAGATCCTGAGCTTTTTTTGTTGTTGTTGTTATTGTTTTGACTAATTGATTAAAAAATAAACTTCTGACTGCTTGTATATGTATGAGTGTTTTGCCTGCGTGTGTGTACGTGCTGTACGTGCATGCCTGGTTCCTGAGGTCAGAAAGGTCATTGGATCCTCCGGAACTCGAGTTACACGTGCTTGTGGGTGCTGGGAACTGAACCTGGGTCCTCTCCAGGAGTAAGAGGGGCTCTTAACGGCTGCACCATCTCCACCTCCTTATATATGTATTCTGAGACAGGATTTCATATGATGCAGCACAGGCTGGTCTTGAACCCTGGATGTAGCCGAGGATGGTTTTGAATTTCTCCCATTGTCTGAATTGCATGCACACACACGTACAGGTGTGCACAACTGTGCTTGTGAAAGGCCAGAGGAGGGCTTTGCTATTTTGTTCCGTGGCTCTCCATCTTATTCCCTTGATCCCTTGAGACAGGGTCTCTCACTGAGCCTGGAACTAGGCTAGTAGCCAGTAAACCCCTACTTTTTAACGTGGGTGCTGGGGATTCAAACTCTGGACCTCATCTCATGCTTGTACAGCAAGGGCTCCCCCCCACCCACTGAGCCATTTCCCCGGCCTCTGGTCTTGAATTCTTTACCCCCAAAAGCTGGGGTCACAGATATGAACCACTATGTATAGGTCCTATTTTGACTCTTATCACAGTGCTCTCCGGTACAACCAGACAAACCCTAACGCTCGGAATCCCTGGGTGTGTGAAGCTCAAGCCTACAGACAAGAAGCCAACTGTGTTTAGCTTTGAGGCACTGTGGTGTTCTCTAGTTTTGTTTGTGGGTCGGTCTGTCTGTTTTTCCAGCCCCTTCCAGGCTGGCTGCCATCTTGAAGTTCTCCAGCTGTTAGACTGATCCTAGTAAAACGTTCCCTCCTTTGAGCTCAGACTCTGGTTGTAAAATGTTCCAGGTGGCTGGGGGGGGGGGGTGGAGGAGGAGGAGAAGCAGAGCTTATGGCAATATTTACCTGGGATGTAAACCCCATATGTTATTCACTCAGCGTGAGCTAGATCTAAAAAGGCAATGTTTCTGTTTCGGTAATGCAATTTGATGTGGCCCTTCCCAGAATAAGCCTCTCATGTGGAAAGACTCATATGAAACTAGACATGTGGAATTGAATGGTGGGTGACTTTGTTTGTTGTTGTTAATAACGGAAAACATGACTTTAATGCTTGGGTGTATTTTTCTCAGCCTCCGAAAAAACATCCACAAGCTGCTGATGACCGGCTGAAACCTCAGCTCGTCCTCCTTCAGGGGCCGGTATTATTCAAAGGCCTGCATCGGCGTCCACAGACACAGCCATGTACAGGCTACCGGGTCATACAGCACCGCACACAGCCCCGCGCACACATCTGATACTCTTTCCAGAATCTCCCAAACATGCCACTCGCTCTGTCTCATTTATGTTCCCCCACCACTTTGTGTGTGTATGGAGGGGCGCAGGCGCATACACCCTGGATAAGCAAACAGAGGCCAGAGAAGGAGGTCAAGATAAGTTCTCACTGAAGCAGAGGTTCCTCGTTTCATCTAGACTGAGACCCAGACAGCCACTCTCATTGTCCCCTGAGGGTTATCGGCAACTCAGTGATGCCCAGCTTTTTTGACGTGGGTGCTATCGACTGAAACTCATTCTTGCAGAGCAAGCACTCCTGCTCACTGAACCATCTTCCCAACCATCCCCCACTGCCCCTCCTTGAAGTAGGGTCTCACTCTGGAGCCCATACTTGAAATAAATTCTCCCACCTCCGCCACCTGAGTGTGCACTAGGATTATAGGTGTATGCTTCCATGCCTGCTTCTCCTGTCACTTTGAAAGATGAGAGGTTCTTGTTTTCTTGACAGAAACAGAAATCATTTAAACACCAGTTCTGCTTCCCGAGGGAACTCTGAATCTGCTCCCCATTGGGCGGCAGCAGCTTTCCCATGGAACCCTGGGTTAGCAGGCTTGGACCTGCCACTTCTGGCCGCCACTCTCCTGTGGCTGGCTGGCAGGCTCAGTTTTCAGGTATTGTCACATGTCACAGCCTGCTAATCTGGCCTTTGCCTCGCTGAAGAATGCTGAGAAGAAATACGTCAGTCAGCTGGCTGTTTGTCACACAGCCATAAAGGCTCATCCAGGGGTGCTGAGAAATGGTTCACGTGGCTTTTGTCTGCCTGTAACAAGGCTCCTGGAGCAACTAATCTCATCAGCTCACCCTTCAGACTCCGGTGTCAGCTGCTCAGGGAACGGTGAGGAAGGAAGGATTCGGGGGAAGTCAGCAGCTGCTGAGTCAGAATGGTGGTGTTGGAAAGCTTAGGAGAGACTCTGTCAAGCCAGGTTCCTCTGCTTCAGTGTTAGCCTTCTGCGGCCCTGCCAGGATCCAACAGGGAGGGGACAGGAGACAGCAGAAGCCAGGGGAAGTGGCTCAAGATACGACCAGGAATTTTGTGCTTGTGACTGCTTGAGTTGATATAGAAACTCCTTTAGGTAGAGAGCTCAGCCACTACTGCTATCTGAACCAGTGTGACTCATAGTAGATCACTGGCTATTCATTTTCTAATTCAGAGAAGGCTCGGACTACAGTGGGGGAACTTGGTAAGAACTTTGTTGATGGTTCCCTTCTTATCTGTAAAACAGGAGTCATCACATGTAAAGAGTGGTGAAGATTAAACAATAAACATATGTGCTCAGCGTCTGTTCTGTAAATGGGAGGTATGATTTTAGACTATCAGAGAAGTAAGCCAATGATTTTGAAAGCCTTAGGAAACTTAGTAGTATTGTCACTGTCAGAATGTTCTTCATGGGGGCCAGAGAGATGGCTCAGTGGGTAAAGGCACCTACCACCAAACCGGATAACCTGAGTTTGGTCTCGGGAACCACACAGTGGAAGGTGAGAACTAATCCTCACAAGTTGTCCTTTGACCTTCATAGTTACACTGTGACTCATAGGCATGCCCACATAGGAACACAAAAGACGTAAATGTAATAAAAATTTAAAAGAACAAGAATGTTCTTGGATCCTTCCTAAGCCTTCCTATCAGTGTTTAAACAAGGTTGTTTGTTTGTTTCCTCTTTCCCATGCTCAGGTTTACCCACAGCTGCTGATGAGTTCCCAGTAGGACCCATTTCTGGTTGCAAGGGCTTGGTACAGAAGAAAAAAAAAAAACAAAGCAAAACAACGAACAAACGAAACACAGGCAATGAAGGTTGTCCTCCCAAATCTCAACACAATGATTCCACCAGAAGCCTAAGGAATTGTCTCATCAACCAGAGCAGATGTAAGTGGAGCTTTTGGAATGGTACATTAAGGGCTTGGACTCTTACCAGCACGGTGGCACACGTCTATGAAGAAGGAGGGTCACCAAAAGTTTGAGGCCAGCCTGGTTTACTTAGCTAGTGAAACTTTGTCTCCAAAGAAAGGAAGAGAGGGAGGGAGTAGGGAAGGAGGGAGTGTTCCCATCCGTTCTGCATGGTCAGTAACCTCACAACACTTCTGTAGCAGTTCACAAAATGGCAGGGCAGACACTTGGATCTGTTGGTACTGTCCAACTGATGAGCTAGCATTGCCATCAAGGTCATGGGTGATAAGGACACGTGTTTCTTCATCCTACATTCACGAGTTCAACAGCTACCACTACACTGCCCTCAGCCTAGAGTTGAGCGCATTGGGGGCCAACTCTAGCAGACTCATACTCAGGGGAGCAGACACGGCCTGATTGAATAAAGACGTCTGGGGTCTTGGTATCAGCAACTTGGTGTGGAAGGTCCTGATGGGTCTTTTCACCTTGGCCCATTTGTAGGGACAGCACGGGAGACAGCTAGAGTGGACCTTAGGAGTCAAGGTCAACTGGAGGCCTCTCTTGCCTGGAATGAAAGGTGCCGCTGGCTGGAAAGATGCCCCTCTCCCAGAGGCCAGACTAGACGTCAGCAGCTTCTGAGTTCCCAGGCTCTGGAAGTGGATCTCAGCCCAGTCCCTCCATCACAGTCGTTCACAAGCTGATCCTCAACTAGGGGCTGAGTGCCCTTCCCACAGGAGCCTGGGGAGGCTCTGGTTAGTCCTGCCCTTCCCAAGGTCACCCTGGGCAGCCAGCCAAAGAAACAATTTATGGAAGAAGCAGGAGCAATAATATAAATTATTTTTTAACTAACCCTCAGTTATCTGATCACCCTGGGTCTCTGCTCAGGATAAAAATCCCAAGAGTTAAACACACTTCAAGAAGAGGTAGCTTCGCTTCTTCTCCGGGGCACAGTCAGAGGCTGGGCGTTACACCTATAAAACTTGCCCTCCTCTGCTGAGCCATCTGTGTAATGAAAAGGTGGAGGGGGCTGGGGATGTGCTCAGTGGTAGAGCGCTTGCCCGGCATGTGGCAGGGCCTGGGTTTGATTTCCAGGGAAGGCCCAGGTCAAGAGGTGGGGATAGAAAGAACAAAGTACTTAAAAAGGAATTAAAAAAAAAAATACTGTCCTGGTTTTCTTTCTAAGAAATGAACGGGTCACGGGGACTCCTGACTCATTTGTTTGAACAGTTAAGGGACTGGGAGTGGGGATGCCATTTAACCCCTCTTGGGACAGACAGATGTCTTGATAAACTTGCCAGGGAAACACAGCAAATTCCAAAGGCAAGGCTAAAACCATGTGCCTTCAACTTAGACCTGTTTCCAGAAATTTGCTCCTCCATGCCCCAGAGAGAATGATGAAATCCCAATAAATGGGGAACTTTGTTAATAACTAGGATCTATGTGGTATTTCTGCAAAGCTATCCTGCCAGACCCTAGTGAGTCTTCTGGGAGAGTAGCAACATGTCCTTAGGGAGACATTTCGGTAGTAAATTTCCTCTCTTTGTTAATCTTTTTCCCTTTTCAGCAGTTCCAGCCATTTGTGTGCTTGTGTGTTGCTTTAATATATATAGCATATGTTATATATGTTGTTATAATATATATTTAATATATATTGTTTTAGAAACCTGACTTTATGTGCCCACAAGCCTGCAAATACCTGTAGAGACCAGAGAGCCTCCGATCCCCTGGAGCTGGGAGTTCCAGGTTATCTTAGTTGTAGCTTCTATTGCTGTGATGAAACACCATGACCAAAAGGCTAGCTGGGGAGGATAAGGTTCATTTGGCTTACACTTCCATATCACTATTCATCATCGAAGGAAGTCAGGCAGGAGCTGACGCAGAGGTCATGGACGGATGCTGCTTACTGGCTTGCTCTTCATGGCTTGCTCAGCTTGCTTTCTTATAGAACCCAGGACCACCAGCCCAGAGACAGCACCACCCACAATGGGCTGGGCCCTCCACCTTCAACCACTAATTAAGAAAATGCCCTATGGCAGGATCTTACGGGGTCATTTTCTCAATCGAGGGTCCCTCCTTTTAGATGACTCTAGCTTGGGTCATATTGACACAAGCTCTCGAGCATGTAAGTAGTTGTGAACCTCCTGATGAGGATGCTGGGAACTGAACCCAGGTCCTCTGCAAGAGCAGCAAGCTCCCCTAACCACTGAGCCATCCCTCCAGCCCTTGGTTTTGTTTTGTTTTGTTTTGTTTCAAGACAGAGTTTCTCTGTGTAACAGTACTGGCTGTCCTGGAACTCACTCTGTAGACCAGGCTGGCCTCACAGACATCTGCTTGCCTCTGCCTCCTGAGTGCTGGGATTAAAGGTCTACCACCACCACCACCACCACCACCCAGCTGGTTTGTTTTTGAGACAGCATTTTCAATTGGCTAAGAGTCCTCTTGCCTTAACCACCCCCATTGCCCCCAACCACCTGGGATTATAGGATTGTATCATCAAACCTGCCTTGGCCATTCCACTAGTATGGCTATCAGTATTGGAAAATAATCAAAGTTCTCCCTGCTTTGGTTTCCATCCTACCCCAGGATGAACAAGGTGCCTGGCTTCCGTGGTTCTGGCATATGATAAAGTCTCAGTAGGTGAGCACGTATCCAATTTGGCTATGTCATTGGCCACAGTCCTCTCTTTGTTAGCACTTCTGAGGGTTATTAGCTGGGTTTGGGGAGCACCAGGGCAGTGAAAAGGAGGACATGACTGCTTCCGGGTATGGTTGAGAAGAAGGATTTTATTGTAGATACGAAGGAGAGAACCGCCTGAGTCCAGAGAACGTCTGAGTCCAGACTGAACTGGGGCATGAGAGGAGGGGTGGGGGAGGAAGAGAAGAGAGGGGGCAAGAGAGGGCACCAGGAGCCAAGAGCAGAGGGTCAAAAGAAAGCATGACCAAAATGTCAGGTTTTCATAGAAATGAGGAGCTGGGCTGGAGATGTTTTAGAGTAGGGGGTGGGGTGAGAAGTGCTGGGAGAAGCCACAGGTGACCAGTGTTGGGAGGAGCCACGGGTGACCAGTGTTGGGAGGAGCCACAGGTGAGCATAGTCCTTGGTTTCTCTGGGACCTGACACCAGGAATATTGAGTCCCTGGAAATGACTTAGGGTGGGGCGTAGCTTTTGGCTCAGACTCATTTGTCAAACCAGGGTCCCAATCTTGCTATATACTATGCCAGTTTAGGATGGCTACATTGTGGGAGGTCAGGTAATGAAAGGTACATACATGCATTTTGGGATGGGATTGGAGGGTTGAGATATAGCAGCACCATGCCTTGTTTAGACACTGTAAAACTTAGAGTTGGCAAATTGGATCCCAGAAACCAAGTTTCAAACAAATGTACTTAAGTGTTTTCTAGTAACTGCGGGTAGCGTCTTTATGTTACAATGTGGTCACATTAAATAAGACTGAACGTTCAGTTACTCTCAGTCACATTTCAAACAGTAGCTACATGCAATTGCTGGCCATTTCCCAGGCCAGTGGTTAGAAAGTGGACAACAGGTGCTGCAAAAGTGACTGGCTCTATAGAAGGCAGGGCATTTTAGGCAGGTACAAGAGTCTGAGAACCAGCGTGTGCCAAGCAGAACGGTTTGCTCAAAACCGAGTAATTGAGGCTGGAGAGGTATGAGTTTGTTCCAGTGGGACAAGTTTGGATCCCAAACCATGACCTCAAGATCCTTCTTTGTTACTACTTTGTTACAACAAGAATCACCCAAACACCAGGTGAAATCATGTGGTCCATGCCAAGAGATGGTGGAGAAGAGGGAGACACCAGTCAGAGGTGCAGGGGGTGCTGAGGCAGTGCCTGGCTGTGTATGAGAGACCAGAACCCTCTGAGGTCTTTACCAAGCCAGCGTCGACAGCACTTAGAAACCAGCTTGATTTTTAAGGGTGGGCGAAGAAAGGGGTGGGCATGGTTTTGGGGACTTTGCCCGGGAGGCGGCTAGACTGAAAATTTAACCCTAGTACAGACAGTTGAACTACAGCCTTCACTGGAGTCTGTTTTTTTTTTTTTTTAATTTAAAACAAAGGTGCAATTTCTTGCTCCAGCCCCACCCTCTGAATCACAAGGGTGACCCTGGACTTTACCCTGAGTCTGAGATTGTGAGAGACACTCCTTAGTCCTTGGAACTTGGAGTGCTGGGTCCAGCCTGGAACAGAAGTAAGGGCCCTTTGTTCTCAGAAGCCAGGGCAGTGGAAAGCCCCCTGCTTCCTGCCTAGCTGACCCTCTTCCCTTCCTCCCCGGGAGAAGCTTCGCTCCTCAGATGAGTTCAAGTTTTGTTACAATGAAAGGGAAGGAACCCTTCCGGGGTTCCCCTCAACCTCCCTGTTCCCCCTTCTGCCCTGAGTTCCTGCAATCCCATCTTCCTATACATGTGGTCCAAATCAGAGGCAAGCGGCTGGGGCTTGCTGGCACAGTCGGGGACCAACCCATGGGCTGTGCTTCCTGGTACCCCACCTAAGTGCGAACTCCAAGGTGCCAATGTCCAGAAGTGTGAGGGCGTGCCTGCCCCGAGTGAGATGTTGTAGCAGTGGGGAGCAGAGTATGAGGAGTTTAAAGTGTGCATGGTGGACAGACCCACCGGCCATTACTGTGCTCAGTGCCCTATGCCACAGTGGCAGCAGGGACAACTGCTTGGGCAGCGAGAGTTAGAAAATGAACCTTCTAGGAGGTGGGTATAAGTCTCCTGGGCTGTGGAGCCGCAGCGGGTGAAGGCACGGAATGATAATGTTCTGATTGCTTTAGTCCATGAGGACAGCCCTTGTTTTTTTGTGTGTGCTTTTTTTGTTTGTTTGTTTGTTTGTCTTTTGGGGTTTCATTTTGCTTTATTTCTAAAATTTTTAAATCTCTCTTTCTCTGTGCATGCAAAATAAGAGCCCACGATTCTCCGGCCCTCATCCCCTACAATGCTGGGGGTATAGGCACATGTAGTCACTTTGCTTTTTTCCTGAGCGCTGGGGATTCAGTCTCAGGTCCCTATGCTTGTATAGCAAGGGCTCTTACCCACTAAGTATCTCTCCAGCCCTCCTCCCTTTAAGATCCATTAGCAAATTTTTGTTCTGTTCCCTTGTTTTGTTTTTTGAGACTGTGAAACAGTCCTGGCTGTCCCGGAACTCACTCTGTAGACCAGGCTGGCCTTGAACTCAGAGAGATCCGCCTGCTTCTGCCTCCCAAGTGCTGGGATTAAAGGTGTGGGTCACCACCGCACGACCCATTGGCAAATTTTTAAAAATCTTTTTTTTATTTCATGAAAAAATGTTCGGATTCCTTTTAGATTGTTCTACCTCTGTCCCCAAGATATTAATTCTCTTGTTATTGCAGCTGCTCAGTCTTCCTTGTGGTAGTTTATTTCACATGTGTTTTATTCCTTTTGTGGTCACCTTCTGCAACAGCCAACTCCCAGGGAGTCCACTGTGGGTCATATAACAAACTACTTGAAAAGTGTGTCTCTTTCAAAGCTGTCGAGTTTTCTCCATCATGAGGTCCTTTCTCATGGTGTTTTCTTAATTCAGAACTCCATTAAAATGTCCTGTCAGTTTTCAGTTCAAGGGTAGAGTCCATTGTGGAGGGGAAGGTGTGGAGGCAGGAGTAGGAGGCAGCAGGTCACGTGGCATCTGAAGCCAGGAAGCCTGGCTTGATTTCGGAGACAGGCTATGACTGTTTATATAGCCCACACTGGCCTGGGACTCACTATGGAGCCCAGTCAAGTCGTGAACGATTCTTCTGCTCAGCCTCCAGAATGTGGCATTACAAGCATATGCCATCATGCCAGCTCTGGTGGCTCCTGTTTTTCTGATCTCTTGCTGTGTGCTAGGCACTGTCCAAGGGTCTGATAAGTCTTCTCAGGTCCTGCTTGAGTGCAGAGGCTCCCAGCCCTACAGTGCAGCTGTCCAAGGTCAGCTTCAAGGGATGGCGTGAGTTCAAATCATGAAACTCCTCACTCATCTCTTTGGACAAGCCCACCGACCTCCAGACCATGGGCGGTCCTTTTGGGAATGCTCCAAACATACCATTGGGAGCATTTAGGGAAACTACGCTAATCTTCGTTAATTTTATTATTGGATGGTGGACAGGTGTCAGACACCAGGGGCTTGCGGTTACTTTCCCTGTTGCTAACAGGAATGACCTAGAAGAGTCTCCCTCCCGGTTCACTTTCTTAGTGGTGCTGGGCCTTGAACCTAGGACTTCTAGTGTGTTGTGCAAGCATGATACTACCACTGAGCCACTACATCCCTAGCCTGAATAAGAAGTGCTGAATTGTCACGGCTTTGCTTAGGTCCTGAATGCATCCAGGTAGGGTCTACAGTGCACAGGGAATCCCCACCCCCACGCTGAGCCCCTGGGCTGAGCGGGGCTGGGCAGAAGGTCCCTCCCAGTGCTGGTTGGGCACGGTGCCCAGACTTAGGCTTTTCTAGGTCAGGCGGTTCTATCTTCGGCCTGGCCCTAGGATACAGCTTGTGTAAACTGCAGACATCGAAAGCATGCTGTGTAAACACAGACTATCTCCCTCTCCAAAGTTTCCTTCTGGGGAAGCTCCTTCAACTGGGAGACTCTATTCCAACTCCTTATCAACTTCAGTTTCCTACCCTGATATAAGGAAGCTATTAAAGTCCGTTTCCTGGTATTGCCTTGACCCTACCGGGACAAGCTCCTGAAATTTCCCTTGGAGGGGAATTTTTTTTTTCACACTCCTCAAATCCCCACATCAAACAAGCCTGCAGGAACATGTTTTAGCCAAACCCTATGCCCTAATGTTCACTGTCATACTCCGACTGGCTTAAATGTGTTTGCTTGGCTCTCTTTAAATGGTTCCTCTGCCTCTTTCACCCATGTTTATAAACATTTTCCTTCTCAGTGTCTGCTGAGCTCTTCCCAATCCCTCACGTAGTTGTTTTAAAATAAAAATCGTGTGTGTGCGTGCGTGTGTGCATGTGTGCATGTACAAGTGTGTGCATGTGTGTGCATGTGCACGTGTGTGCGTGTGTATGTGCATGTGTGCGTATGTGTGTGTGCATGTGCACGTGTGTGCGTGTGTATGTGCATGTGTGTGTGTGCATGTGCACGTGTGTGCGTGTGTGTATGTGCATGTGTGCGTATGTGTGTGTGTGCACACATGTGTTTGTATTAATGGGTAAGAGTGCAGGCATGAACGTTGTGGTGAGCACCTGGAGGTCAGAGGACAATTCTGGGTGTCTGTCCTTTCCTTCTTCCACGTTTAAGACAAGGTCTTGTATTCATTGCAGTGAACACCAAGCTAACGGGCCTTTCAGCCTCCATGGATTCTCCTGTCTCTGCCCCACATCTTGGCTCAGGAGTACAGGGAGTGCAGGCAAGCTACCCTGTTTAGCCTGGAGTGGGTTCTGGCAATCCAAACTCAGCAAGCATTTAACTCGAACTCGCTCATCCCCCAACCTCATGAAGGTTCTGCTTGCCTGTGCAAACATCTCTCTCTTCCCTGCCTTCCTGCATGCCCTTCCCATGATGACAGTCCCGGTCCTCACATAGGACAGAAGGAAAGAATGTGGGGAAAAGGCAAGGCAAAGGATATCACCAAGCTGGAACTGAAAGGGATCCTGGTGCTCCCCAGCACTCTTTCTTTGCTCCAGCATGGCCACCCCTTTCGTGATGCGATTTGCATGTGAAATGCCCCCCCCATTTGAATGCTTGGTCCCTAACTGGTGGCACTGTTTGGGAAGACTGTGGGACCTTAGGAGGTGGAGCCTCATTGGAGGAAAACAGTCACTGGGAGCCTGACCATGGGGTTTTGTTCTCCAGCAGCCCTGCTTCCTGTCTGTTCTTGGCTTCCTGACTACAGATGCAAAGTAACATTGAGTCTCCTCGCATTTCTGCCCCTGCATCTTCTCATCCATGAAGGACTGAACACCCTCAAAGCCAGAACAACCCCTTCTCTTATGCCCCCCTCCTCCTCCTTTTCTTCTACTTCTTGAGACAGGATCTCCTGTGTTCCAGGCTGTCCTCAGACTTGCTCTGTACCAGAGGAAGACCATAGAAGCCTAATGACTGTAAGTGTTGAGGTTGCAGGCACACATCACCATGCTCCTTTTATGTAGTACTAGCAACGGAACCCCATACTCTACCATGACACACTCCAAGTCCTTAAATTATTCCATGTCAGGTATTTGGTCATCAACAAGAAAAGTAACTGGTAAAGCCTGTCCTTCTACAGCCCCCTCCCCAAATGGGCAGGACTGTCCTGGATAAACATGACATGGTTACCTGACAGTGGAGAATGTGACTGCCGTATTGTGAGGATACCCAAGTGGCCCTCTGAAGAAGACCGTTTGGTGAAGAGGCCTCTTGCTTACAGCCAACACTGATATAGAGGCCATGTTGGCAGAAGTTTCTGTCCTGACCAGTCCCGCAGCTGTTCGGTCCCAAAGAAACACACAGAGTTCTACATTAATTATGAACTGGTTGGCCTATTTGCTCAGGATTCTTGTTAACTAATTTCTGTATCTTAACCCGTAATTTTTGTCTGTGTTAGCCACGTGGCTTGGTACCTCTTATCAGGGAGGCGTTCTCATCTTGCTTCCTCTGTGACTTCCACTGTGACTGCAGACTCAGCCTTTCCTCTTCCCAGAATTCTCCTGTTCTTGTCGCCCCACCAAATACTTCCTGCCTGGCTACTGGCCAATCAGCATTTTATTAAAGCAATACAACTTATAAATCTTTCCAGGGTACAAGATCATTGTCCCACAGCAAGGCCACATGAGTGACCTGCCTCAGAAACAGACTTTAGTCCAGTGCTTCTCAACCTGTGGGACGTGATCCATTTGGGGTTGCATATTAAATATCTTGAATATTAGCTATTTACATTGCAATTCACAATAGTAACAAAATTACAATTATGAGTAACAACAAAATAATTTTATGGTTGGGGGGTCACCACAACATGAGGAGCTGAATTAAAGGGTTGCAGCATCAGGAAGGTGAGAACCACTGCAGACAACCCCTAAGCAGGTAACAACGCCTGTAACCCCATAAGAGATTCTGGGTGGAACCATGAAGCTGAATTGCTTCCAAGTTCTGGAGCTGCTAGAACTATGTAAAGTGATGTTTATTGTTATGTTAAAACACTAACTTTCTGAGAAGTCTAGAATATGATAGAGATCCAGTTTGAGAACTAGACGCGTAGTTCAGCTGGTACCAGGCTTGCCTCACTTGCAGGAAGCCCTGGGTTCCATTCCCAGTACCACATAAACCGGAGTGTGGTGGTGCATGCCTATGATCTCAGCCTCTGGGACATGGAGGCAAGAGGATCAGAAGTGCAAGGTCATCTCGGCTACACAGAGCCAGCCTGGGAGATAGGGGCATGAGACCCTCTCTCAAAACAGAACTAAAGAAAGCAACAAACACTCTCCAGCCAAGACTGGAGAGATGGCTCAGTGGTTAAGACTGCATACAACACTTTGCAGAGGACCTGAGTTCCGTTCCCAGCACACAGTTAGGTATCAGGTCCCATGACACAGGAGCAGAGACTGCCATCATTCCCATCTCATGTGCCGTGACCCTCCCTTATCCAGAGGGACATGCACCAGGATGCTCCAAGGATGCCTGAAATTGTAGCCAGTTCTGAAACTCAGCTGTACAATGCTTATTTCTCCGTATGGACACCGTAACAGTAAGGCTGGATTCATAAATTAGGCATACTGAGATTAATAATAGCGAATAATAAATAGAACAATTACAATCAAATACTCTAGTCAATGAAGACACTGCTGAATGTGTTATTTCTGCCAATTTCCAGTTAGTAATACCAGACAGCGCTAACCCCAGGGAACTGAATGAAGGTTTAAGTGTAGACTGTGATATACCTCCCCAGACAGCGCCACCAAGTGGGGACCACACCAAGCGTTCGGATGCCAGAGCCCATGGGGGACATTTCGAATACAAACCACTACAGAGTGAAATACTTTATTCTGATCATTTGAGAGTCAAGAAAGGGGAGAATGAAGACAAACTGAGGGCCTCACTGGGAGCCGCTAGACTCAGATCTTCACAGCGGAACCTCAAGCTCCCTGCTCGCAGCTGCTTCGGGGCTGGTGCCTACTCAGTCAGTCTTGCATCTGGACGCAGGATGTCAAGCTGGGTGGAAAATGCTGCCGTTATATCCTGTTCCAAGTGCTTCCTGGAAAGACAGTAGAAAGAAGAAACAGAGGCTGTTGAATTCCAGCTTGCTTCTCCGCATGGAGCAGTGAGTCACTATTGGGAAAGAGACAGAGAACCTACCAGGGTGTCCTGATCACACCATGAGACCACGGATGTCATAGGAGTCCCAGGAGCTAGTCCGTGTGCGTGTGTACAGAAACCGTGACAGGCTCATAGACTCCCCTGGGAACCCCAAGCCCTCCATGGACACCCCAGTGCCTTAGTTGAATCCTTCAATTGGATGTCCAGCAGTGGAAGCCGGGGGTTGTTAGAACCTGAGCTAGGAGCTTGAGGTCTGAGCATGCTTTCCAGTATGTCCTCAGGGCGTCTCGGGTTCACAGAGCACCCCATGTCACAAAATGCCTGGGATGCTGTGATCTAGAGGGAAGAACAAGTTTGAATCAAGGAGGGTCAGTGTCTACTCAGCATTCTCAGCAGAGCCTCTGGGGACTAGCAATTCACTCAGTATTCCAAGGCACTCTTGTCCCAGTCAGGGGATATTTAAGCCATCCTCAGGGTCCACAGCCTCTGCTGCTGCCTGTGCTTCCCAGGGCTGCCATACCAGAGCACCCAAACCTGAGCGATGTAAAACACCAGGAACACATTTTAAAAGATGTATTATTTTTATTTATGTGTGCGTGCCTGTGTGAGTGTGTGTGGGTGTCTGTGGAGGCCAGACGTCCTTGGATCTCTTGGAACTGGTGATGGTCATTGACAAGCTGCCCAGTGAATAGGGAATGAAGAGGAAGTAGAGTCAATACGGACCCTTTACAAGACATACACACTGACTGGACAGCTTGCTGGATTCTCAAAGGAAACCAAGACACTCTCGTGAGAGAAAGGATAAGTAGCAGAATAGGGCCATGACCCAGAAAGCAGGGAGGGGGCCTCAGGAAGGGAAAGATGGGAAATGATCAGGAGATGGAACTGGGGAGCTGGAGCTGGAACTCAGTTGGTAAAATGCTTGCTTGGCATGCATGAGGTCCTGGGTTCAATCCCAACACCACACAAAGCAGGCATGGTGCCATAGGCCTGTGACACCATCACTCAGGAGACAAAGGCAGGGAGATTAGAAGTTCAAGATCCTTTTAGCTATGTAGTGAGTCTAAGGTCAGCCTGAGGTATGAGAGAGAGAGAGAGAGAGAGAGAGAGAGAGAGAGAGAGAGAGAACATATGGCTTGGAATTAGCTTTAAGAAGTTGAAATGGTCAGGGCAAGCTCATACAGCAGGAAGTTAGTGAGGAGATGGGAGGAGAAAGCCCAGAAGGAAAGGGCCAGGAAGGATAGAAAAGCAGTTGAAAGGAGGAAGATCCACATTTTTAAAAGAAAGATAGAAGTGGGGTAAAGAAGGAGAGCGGAAAGGAAAGAAGGAAGGTGAGAGAGAGGTAGAAAAGGGAGGGGAGGAAGGAAAGCAGGGGGTGGAGAGAGGTAAAGATAGGAAGGTGAGAGAGGGAGGGAAAAGAGAAGGAAAGGGGGAGAGGGAGAAATAGGGAGGGATGGAGGAAGAGAGAGAGAGAGAGAGAGAGAGAGAGAGAGAGACAGAGAGAGAGAGAGAGAGATCAGCATCTCAAGTGCACACCCACAACTGGAGAGGGTGATGCTTTGGATAGGAACATACCCCCCCCCTGTGTGTGTGTGTGTGTGTGTGTGTGTGTGTGTGTGTGTGTGTGGTGTGTTTCAGGTCAGGGCTACCCGCCCAGCCCAGTGGACACCATGCCTTGTTGCCTGTTGGCCAAGGATGGAGTAAGGATGGAGGCTAGCTTGTGGACTCGAGAAGAAAGATAATGTGAGAACAGCCAGAATTCCAAAATGGGGTGCCTAGCCTGAGGACTCCTATCAGATCTCGGTAAGCCTTGGGGTTGTTCTAGAGTGCTTGTAGTTGTAGGGGACTTGGGGGTGAGTCATCAGAGTCACCAGAGTGGGAGGACTCCGCCAGAGAGGGAGAACTCCAAGACTGAATGAGAAGGAATTCCAAACTCCCAGTCTAAATAAAAAAAAATAAAAGTGGAACTTGGGGACATTCAGCAAAGTCTTACCAGATGGTCATGTCTTTGTTTTCTCCTGAATGGCATCTTTCTGTACCTTCCTCTTCTCAGGAAATCAGAGCTGAAGGGAGTGGGCCAGGAGCTTTGGAAAGTCCCTCACTTTGGAAGGTCAAGGTTGGACACACTTGACCTACTTCTGTTCTGTGCTTGCGAGAGAGCAACAGAGGGGGCCGGGAGTTCTGGAAGGCCGAGTCCTACCCATGAGTCCATAGGAGACCTGGAAGCAGGGAAGCCTTGGGTACAGGGGAGCTGTGGTTGAAACCAGCCAGGGTTTGTGGTGTGGCTTGAGTTCACGCTGGGCTCCACCCTGGCATTGTCCCAAGGGCCTCTTTACTTGGGTCTTGTGGAGGATGTGGGCATTGTCATTAGAACACTAGGGCACTGAAGTCCCCAGGAGAGCGCTTGAGATGGTCATCAGCCGGTCCCCTTTTGAGCTTAGAGTGACTTTTGAACCAGCCAGCCTGGGACTAGATCCTCAGTCCTTCCGCTTTCCCTTCAAGGCTAAGATCCTGGGCCAAAGGATTCCAACTCTCTTTGACTCCTAACTGTAGATCCCTCATGGGGATACTGTGAGAAGTCAATAGGTTGGAAAGTGTGAGGGGGCTCAGCACACTCAGGTAAGGGGGTGCTGTCCTCCCACAGCATGTATGCAGTGAGACCTGGTGGCAGGTAGTCCTTGGGCTCAAGACAGCAGCAGCTGAGACAGCTGAGTTTTATGGCTTAGATGTTGAAACTTACCCTGGGAGCATTATCAAGGCCTGCTTTACTTGGAACGTGAGTGACAGTCCTGGGGGTGGCTCCTAGTTGTGCGCGCGCACACACACACACACACACACACACACACATGTATGAGAATATTTGATCACTGAGCTACACTTCCAACTCAAGGGGAGGCATGTCTTGACAGGGAGGTCTCATGAGGATAGAAGGGGGGCCTATTTTGGGTGGGCGCTATTAGGAATGGAGCCTGGGCTGCCTTCGGTCAAAGGAGCCTAGAACTAAATGTACTCCTCTGTTTTGAATACCCAGGCCTCTCAGAAGGTTCTAGAGCCTCTGACCCGTCAGTCAAGAGAACGCATTTCTTCCAGGCTGGACTGATGGATCCACGGTGGGCCCAAGACAGAGAGTTTTAGGGTGGGTAATGACTAGCCGATGCAGCTTCAGGTAGCTCAGAGCCTGAGAGGAAAGCAAATGGAAGCACTTTCCAAATCTGCTAAACAGGTGAGTCAGTTTCCCTCCGGGAGGGCAGCACCTGGAGGCTCACAGCTGGCCAGGAGAGGGTGTGTTCAGCTCCACCAAGCCTCTTCTATCTTTACGTCACAAGCCCTTAGGTGATGCTTACCCCAAGGAGTGGCAAGTAGCGGTAGCTCTGTCGTTGAACCTTGAAGCCAGGTGGCCTCCATTTGAACCTGATCGTCACTGTCTTCCAGTTCAGTACTAAGTCCCCAAGAAGGCTTCAGGTTCTCTGTTGAACAGTGCCACCTGATCTACTCTGGAAACCGTAACGCAGATTGTATAGGGTCTCTAAACACTCTTAAAGCACAGGCTAGCTCAGAAGGTTGGCTCTAAGAGTGTGTGCTATGGTTGTCCAAAAGGCTTCAAGGAGGATTTGAGGAAGGAGAAGCCAGACCTGCAGCCCTCCAGACAAAGGAAGGCTCAGGGCACAGCAAGTAAAGGAATCTTAATCCTAAATCTATGTCGGGTTAGGCAACAAAGTGGAGAGACAGCTGGGCTTCTCAGGGGCCAGCACTAAACAGGCAGAAACCCAGGTTCCTGGGGCCCCTTGACCCCAATCTGAGCTCTCTCCATCTTCCAAGATTCCCTGCTCCTCTATACTGAGAGACTATCCTATCCCAGGCACAGAGCCAAATCCTGAGAAGACATACCCAAGGGGAATCAAATGCCTGGCCTCTCAGGAGGTGGTGGGCAGTGGAGAAGAGAGCACAGAGACAACCCATTGTAACGAAGCTCATTGCGGCGGAGTTTTCCACCAGAGTTCTCTTCGAAGGCGGAATGACACTTCACTGTATGAATGGACGGCACATATTGCTTATTCTGTCAATCATGATGGACTTTGCTGCTGCTTCCGCCTTTGTCCTAGTGTGAAGAGCTGCTGCGAACTTGGGTGCACAGACCTTTTCCTTTTACAAGTGAAAAAAAACACCCAGTCAAGGAAAGAGGACCCCCAAAGAGGCAAAATGGAAGGATCTCAGCTAGCCGTGAAAAGGGGGTTTGGAGAGCATTCCCCGGGAGGAAGCAGCCGTTTTTCTTCTCTCTTCCAGAACTGAGAGGATGAGAAATCAGCTGAGTTAAATGTAAGCGTGAGGATGAGTGTCCGTCGCACGTGACATCTTGAGGCTGTAAGAGTGCTGGGTTCTTTCAGCACTGGGAATGGGAATGATATGACTAAGGCCTGGAGAGTAAGGCGGAGACGGACATGGGTGAGCTGGCAGGGCGGGCTGCACCCCTACTGATGGTGCACCAGTTACAAATGGGCCTTCCCCTAAAGTTATGATAGGCAATTAGAGAGCAGTTGGCAAGAGTGAATGTCTAAATATAGAGGTTCACGCTTCTCTCTTTCTCTCAGAGAGAAAGCGAGAGAGGGAGTGTGTGTGGTTGTACATGCCTATGGAGGCCAGAGGTCCATGTCCGGTCGGTGTCTATCACTCTCCACTTTATTTATTTATTTATTTATTTATTTATTTATTTATAGGCAGGCTCTCCCCGCTATGTAGCTCTGGCTGCCCTGGAGCTTGGTATATAGATCACACTGGCCTCGAACTCATAGAGATCCTCCTGCCTCTGTCTCCTGAGTGCTGGGATTCAAGGCATGTGGCACTATACCTCTCTATTTATTTATTTTGAAACAGGGCTTGGCATTGAACTTGGAGTTCATTGATTCAGCTAGGCTGGCTCGTCAATGAACTCCAAAGATCTGCCTGTCTACACACACACACACACACACACACACACACACACACAAGTACACACGCCTTACTATAGGCATTATTTTATGTGGGTGCAGGAGATTCATACTCAGATCCTCAGGCCCGCATGGAAGGAACTTTAACAGTTAAACCATCTTGACAGTTCCTAAAGTCTATCATTAAAAAAAAACAAACCATCCTAGCCACAGTGGGATGAATGATTTAGACTCTGGAAAGGGATGAAGGGCAAAAGTGAAGGGCAGAGAGTCCAGGGAGGTACTACAATAGTTACCTAGGCAGGAGGTGCTGGTTGGTTGAATTAAGCTGGTACAGTTAATACCAGTGTGGATAGCAGAAGGAACTGGGGATGGAGCTCAAAGAGAGAATGCTTGCTAAGCATGCACAAGACTCTCGGCACTACTCAAAGAAAAGAGAAAAGGAATAGGACACAAAAGAAGAGAGAAAGGACCATGGCTTTGTGCAGAGGGAGTATCATAGCCAGTGAGGTTTATTGGAGGCACAATTATAACTCATTGGAAATTCTTCCTGGAAATAGATGAAGTAAAGAAACACAGGCTGGTGATAGTGGTGTACGCCTGTAATCCTAGTATTTGAGAGGTGGAGGCGGGAAGAATAGGCGAGGCTAGACCCTGTCTCAAACAAACAAAATGAGACAAGACAACAAACTAGCCATCAGAGAGATAGCAATTTAGTGATTGCTTGGTTTAGGAGTAAAGGAGGAAGTATCTGAGAGCCCCCATCAGATTGTGAGAGTTGAGATCATATTAGTTTAAAGACTGGGGACACTGAAACGTAGATCAGCTGTGAAATTTACCGTGATCAGACAACTCAAAAATGGCACACACGTCATCCCTGCACTCAGGAGACCGAGGCAGTAGGACTGTGAGTTGGAGACCAGCCTGGGCTACTGAGCAAGACTCTTTTTCAAAACAATAGCAACAAAAAAGCTGGGTGTGGTGGTACAAGCTTATAATCCAGGTGCTTGAGGAGAATTCACAGAAATTTGAGGTCATCCTACACTACATATGAATGCTAGGCTTAGCTGCTGTCTCTCGCTTAACGATGATTTTTTGTTGTTGTTGCTGTTGTTTTTTTTTTTTTTCCCCTTGAGACAGGGTTTCTCTGTGTAACAGCCCTACCTGTCTTGGAACTCACTTTGTAGATCAGGCTGGCCTCAAACTCACAAAAATCCACCTGCCTCTGCCTTCTAATTGCTGGGATTAAAGATGTGCGCCACCACCACCTAGCTGTTTCTTTCTTTTCTCTTTTGTTTCTTGAGACAAAGTGCCCCTGTGTAGGCTTGGCTGTCCTGAACTCACTATGTAGGCCAGGCTGGCCTAGACCTCATAAAGATTCACATGCCTCTGCTTCTTGAGTGCTGGGATGAGAGGTGTGCACCACCATGACAGGCTTTAACCATGCTGTGATCCCAGCGTGCCAGCAGAGTGGGCGTGCCTGCTCTAACCTTTCCTTTCACATCTAAGTAACCACCATCAAGGATGTCCCAGACGGTTGTAGGACAGACAAAACAATACTCCAAGTCTCTGGCTCTCATTCATCCTTTCCCATTAACTGCCCAAGGACAAGGGTTTCAGCTCCATTCCCCACAGCGGATGCTATTAGCCTTTAACATCTGCTTGTATCTATTTTCTAAATTTTCAGTAGGAAACATACATAGCATTTGTAGAGGGCACAGGAAACTTGCAAAAGCAGAGACACATTCAGCATTACTGAGTAATATCCATGTGGCTGCGGCTTAAAGGAGGCAACCTGTGACATTTCATCAGACAAAGGACCAGAAAATAAAAAGTGTGACCATGTCTGCCTTCGGTACTTCCTAACCAGCATTTCTTGGCAATCTACGCTCTGGCCTCACTGCAGACACTCCACTACTTAGAACAAAGCAGCCCTTCTTATAGGGAGTGGTCAGAGGTCTTAGGTTAGATAATTCTTCAAGGAACCTTTGAAGTCCTGTCACCCATTCGGTGTCTTGCCTGCTCCTCCCCTTCCCATCTTGTCCACTTTGCCCGGACATGATGGAGGTGCAGGGGGTTTTGCAGCAACAAGACCTTCTCATCCTGCTAGGCAGAGCTAGTCAATTGAGAGGAATGGTTCTCAACTTAGGGGTCACAGCTCCTTTGAGGGTGGAAGGACCCCTTCACAGATACATACCAGGTATCTCCCATATCAGATATTTATATTACAATTCATAACAGGAGCGAGATGACAGTTGTGAAGTAGCAACAAAATAATTTTATGGTTGGGGGTCACCACAACATGAGGAACTGTATTACAGGGTTGCGGCATTAAAAAGGTTGAGAGACATTGGGGCAGAGGGACCAGGGTGCTCTAAATAATTGTCTTGTAAAGATAACAAGATAAAGGGAGTCTATCAAACTTGAACATATTTCACCAGGCTGTTCTCTTTCTAACAGCTACTGAGGACCAAAGTATAAACAATGCAGTGTCAAACAAAATACAGACACAGATGTACACACACATACACACCAAAACAAAACCAGGTCAGTTTGTTTGCCATGATAAAATATGCTGACAAAAGGCAGTTTGGGGGAGAAAGAGTTCGTTTGGCTTTCAGTTTCAGATCATAGCCCATCATTTCAGGAAAGGCAAGGCAAGGATCCAAGCAGTCAGTCACAACGCATCCGCAGCATCCGTAGTCAAGAGCAAAGAGAGAATGAACCTGTCCTTGCTCCCTCGCTTTCAGCTGGCCTTTTCCTCTCTGATACCATTCAGGGTCCTCTGTTGAAAGAATAGACCTCTCACACTGGTCTGTATCTTCCTACATCAATTAACAGTCGAGACACTCCCCGCAGACAAGCCCATGGGCCAAGCTGATCTAGAAAATTCCTCATTCAGACTCTCTTGTCAGGTGATTGCTGGGGGTGTCAAGTTCATAGTTAAAACCAAGCGGCCCAAGAAAATAGTGCGACTTACCTCAAATGGTGCTGAGCGTCCTCATCCTCTCCGCTGTGTCCAATTCACAAGCCATCTGCTGCTCATCACTCGAATAGAGTGTGCAACTTATTTATATCCCAAAGTAATTTTAAAAAGAAGTTGTTGTGACTTAACAAAAAAAAAAAAGAAAAAAAGAAAAAAAAAAAGAAATCAAGCAAGCAAGAAAAGTCCAGACAAGGAAACCTAGGGGATATGAGAAAACTGGGAAAACACTGTAGAAAAGAATTTAAAAACCAAGTGTTCATCCTGGTTGCTCCAGGAGTCCAGGGCTAGCTTTGCGGGGTTCTGATGGTCTAGATGAAAACAGAAATGGGGCACACACTTTCATTGATTAGAAAGCAAAAGATAACTGTGGGTTTTAGAAGGGAATACTGAGTTGTTCTCAGTATTAATTATCTTAAAAATTACATTTATTTACTTATTGCCGAGCAGATGTGTACACACTTGCACGTGACAGCATGTGTGCAGCAGTCAGAGAACAACCTGCAGGACTTGCTTCTCTCTTACACTGTGGGTCCAAGGCATACAGCCCCTGTCTTCAGGCCTGGTGGCAGGTGCCTTAACTCACGGAACCACCTTCTCCACCCTTGATACTTAATTTTGAACAAAATTTTCCTATGATAGAAAGTTAGAACGATAATGTTTTGATAGAAATTTTGGGTCAAATAAGTTTTTTTCCATTTTTTTTTTTTTTTACAAAACTGGTCTTAATAATAATGCTTATAAAAATAGTTGGAAATCCCCTACCATTGAAGGTTAGCCCAGAAATGCTGAATCAGCGTGTACATTTGATCAGTTCCTTTCTTCTTGTTTACAGTTTGTGTTATTTTAAATTATATGTCTGTATGTCTATGTGTGGGTAACCACACAAGTGTGCAGGTACCCGCACGGCTGGAGGCACATATATTCACATATACACACACAGAGACAAACACACACATACACCAAACAAGTTTCGTTTTTAAAAACCCAGAACAAAGGAGAAATGGCTCATTGGTCAAGGGTACTGGCTGCCCCTCTGGAGGATCTGGGTTCAGTTCCCAGTACCCACACGGCAGCTCCTAACTGTCTGTGACCTCAGTTCCAGTGGATCTGGCACCCTCACACAGACATTAAAAAAAACAAAGACAATAAATAAATGAATTAAATATGGAACCAAGAACAGAGTGAATATAGGGCTATGCTATGCAGAATGAAGATATAACTGTACTTCAGCTCTATTGTTTTCAAGTTAGTTAGAATTTGGTATTACGTTTCCTGGCGGGGAGGTGACAGTTCATTTCTCTCTCTCTCTCTCTCTCTCTCTCTCTCTCTCTCTCTCTCTCCTCTCTCTCATCCACAAATGGCTCACTGAGACAAAACCACACTGTTGCTATGGCATTTTTCTAATCTATAGTTCATTACCACTAGGAAAAGCTATCTCAGGACACAGTCTGCTCCTTAGGGCCCCACAGCCATATCTAAGAGTTCTTGGGGTGTCTTTGCTGTGTTCCAAGCTTCTGTTCCCGGCTTGCTTCTCCCCCAGGCTTCTGTTGCTTGCTCAGTGTTCTGCTTTGGATGTGAAATGTTCCCCCAGGGGTTCGTGTGTTTGAATACATGATCTCCGGGTAGATGGTGGAACCTTTAGGAGATGGAGCCTTACTAGAGAAAGTCGGTTACTTAGGGAGGGTCTTGAGGCTCTGTGAGGTGAGTGGGATGTGGGCAGTGGGATCATATTTGGGGGAGAGAAGGTGGTAGTGTTCATGGCAGGGAATACCTATAATTCCAGCACTTAGGAAGCTGAGGCAGAAGGATCAAAATCAGATGAGTGTAAGGCTAGCCTGGACAATATACCAAGGCCTTGTCACAAAAGCAAAACAAATATAAAAAGAAAAGACAAAAAAAAAAAAAAAGAAAGCATGTGATTTATCATGCAAACACAGTCACTCTTGAGAGGACAAAAGGCCATGCTTACCTTTTTATTTTTGAGACAGGATCTCACATAGTCCACGCTGGCCTTGAACTCCCTATGTAGTAGATAATCTTGAACTCTTGTTACTCTTGCCTCTACCTCCAAGTGTTGGGGTTACAGGTATGCCCTGCCACCATATCAGCTACTCAGCACCATAGGTGCCCCCTGACACAACTGCTTATTTCTACGGTATACCTAAAGCCATTTCTTGGATAGTCCTCACTTTATTTATTTATTTATTTATTTAAAGATGGGGTCTTGATATGTTGCCCAGGCTGTCCCAGGTCTCATTGATTCTCTTCAATTTCCAGAGTAACTGGGATTACAAGTAGCTGTTACCATGCCCTGCTTGTTTAGCAATTTACATAGCATTAATATTCAACAGCAGGATAATCTAAAAGTTCTAAAAAAGTTTCCACAACAAAACAACAACAACCAAAACAACCAAAACCTGTACTCCCAATACTTGGGAGGAGGGTTATAAATTGGAATTCATCCTGGGCTATGTAGTGAGATCCTGTTTCAAAAGTTATCAAACAAACAAACAACAAAGCTCAGAGGGCCTCATTATAAGTAGAAAACACTAACTAAAGAAATCAACAAAACACTAAACAAATCCTGGGGGGGGAGTGAGAGTAAAAGTAAAAGAATGGGGGACCTTGCAGTCTCTCTCTCTCTCTCTCTCTCTCTCTCTCTCTCTCTCTCTCTCTCTCTGTGTGTGTGTGTGTGTGTGTGTGTGTGTGTGTGAGAGAGAGAGAGAGAGAGAGAGAGAGAGATAGAGAGATATGTAAATTTAAAGTGATTTTGAAATGACATTGCTTAACCGAGCCAATGGAGTTCAACTTTGAATTCAAGTGCATTTGAAAACCTGGATAAAACGGTATTTCCCCAGGCGTGGGACAGCTGGTCAGCGGCTGAGCTGGAAGCTCCATCTCATGACTGCCTGCCAAGTCATCTCCCTATGAGTCAACCTGGCTTCTGAGTCGGCTTTCTAGACTGTTATTCCAGCGCTGTAATGAAGAGCAAAGAGGACTGGGGCTGGGCAGGAACTTGACTCTTGTATTTCAGTGGGATCCATGTGATCTGAAAGGTAGCCCCTTCCCAGGACAAATGCCCACCAACCCTCTTCTCACATCAGCTGTGTCTGCCCTACTTAGGTACCCAGGCCTGGAAATAAAAAGCAGGCATATGCTTGGCCTTGAGAATCCTAACCTTACACCTAGGGGAATCTCATCATAGCTGAGACTTAGCTAGTTTTCCAAATTGTGTGCTCTATTATGCCACTTTTAATAAGAGTAACAACTCATGTTTACTGAATCATTGCCTACTTATTTTTCCATAATAATGCTATAAGTCTGTCATTAACTCCCTCTATTTTATTTTAGTTTTTTGTTTGAGACAGGGTCTTGTGTGGCCCATGTTGGATCTAAATTCTATAGGTAGCTGAAGTTGACCTTCGACTCCTGATCTTCCCGGCTCCAACTCCCAAGTGCTGGGACACAGGCGTGCACCGATATGCCCAGCTGACCCTTATTGGAATATGTCCCCAGCACCAGGTAAGACGGAAGGGGGTAGAATGAGAGGGCACAGAGATGTTAAGCAATTGGCCCAGATCTCACGGACAGATAGTAAACAGCTGAGATTGAACCTCAGGTTGTCTGATGGAGGAACCTGAAGCCTGTTTCAGTTATAACTCCAGCTGTCCTCATAATAGTCTCTCTCTCTCTCCCTCTCCCTCCCACCCTTCTCTCTCTCTCTCTCTCTCTCTCTCTCTCTCTCTTTCTCTTTCTCTGTATGTGTGTGACATGGAGTCATTAGGCATGATAACAGAGAGTGGTCCCCAAAATAGGCTTGGGAGTGTGGCTTTGTGGCTTTTGTGGATAAGCATGAACTTAGGCCGCAAGAGACTCTAGGCTCAGCCCCCAGCACCAGGTAAGACGGAAGGCTGTAGGAGAGTAGGGTGGGGCTGCGGTGAGGGGTAGAAGTTCCAAGAGCCGAAAGACAAATATTACCAGGCATTCAGCACGTGCCAGGCATACTTCTGTTTAGGAATGCATTAGCTCAGTGAGCTTCCAAAACAGGACCAAACAAGGTCTCCTCCAGAGGTCGCAGCTAGGATCAATGATCACAGCTGGAGCTCCTACGCCCAGGTAGTAAAACCAAAGTTCAGGGCCAGTGGGCAGGTGAGCCACCATGGCAGTTAGGCGTCATTTCCAAAACCTGGCTTTTCTCAATTTACAGGAAGATACAGACTAGTTTAAGCAACAGTTAAATGCCATTCAGTGACTTGGGGACAGGCTAGTCAGGGATCCAAAGTCGGTTCCCACATTGCTTTCACTTTCCCAGACTTCAGTGGTGTGGCTCAATGCTCAATTATCCTCCAGACAGACCCTTGTTTTTTTCTTCTTCTTTACAGGGTCCAGGTGGAGCCGGACGCCGCCCCCTGGTGGCAGTGCGAGTCTGCGCTCAGGGCTTGGTAAAGACCTTGCGGCGCCGCTAGCTGATTGGCCGGCAGGGTATCCAGGTGCTTTGCAAGTCGGCTGATGCTGGTGGTCCTCAGACTGCAGCCCCGGCCCTGCCCCTCGGGATTCAAGTCCAGACTGGGACCAGCAAAGCTGACTTGTGAACCTGGGGAGTTTCCCGTTTCTCTCCCATTTTTGTTGTGGTCGTGAATTCCTCCTGGACTCAGGATGGCGATCCGACACCAAGGCCAGCAGTACAGCAGTACAGCCTGAGGGTGACTGTCCTGCGAGGTCCTCACCTGGCCTTTCTGACGAGTGAGCAGGGATTCAGTCTGTGGAGTGTCCAAGGAAGACTGCACAAGGCAGACGGAATTCCTCCAGGTCGATCCTCCCTGATTGTGTAGGTGTCCAGAGCTGCCTCTTGGTCCTGAATCATCGGGACCTGCTGGGCAAAATGTCAGAAAGGCAGCGCCTGTCACCAGCCACAGACTCAGAGACTGGTAAATAGACACCCACGTGTTAATTTCATTGCACTCATAAGTTGCCGTATCTGACCATGTGATGTTCGAGAGTAAAAACATTTTTCACATGTTGGCCGCAATACCCGCACAGCTCGGAAGGCCGTGGCCACCATCTTCCACTCGCTGCCTCAACTTGTTTGGATTTGAGTCGAAAGGTCAGATCCTCCAACCTCATCCGGTGTTCTTTGCTCTTAGATAGTTAACCAGTGTGCTCATGGACCAGTGAGGCAGCGGGTGAGGAGCTAAAGACGTGTTACCGGCTTTCTTAAAGATGTCCCAGGCTAAAGTGGTCCATCTAAGGCAGTTTAACAGAGCCCAGCTTGAGTGTTGTAGACTTACTGTGGACTGGGTCCCACCACAAAGACCCTCAGGGGTCCCTTGTCAGATGTGCCCGTTTCCTGGCTGAGACGGGCCCTTTGGGCAGCCAGTGGCAGAGCTGGCTGTAGGCAGTGTAGCTAGTGTTAGCATCTGGCCTGAGCTTCCCTGCCCAAAGAGGGCTGACTTGGTCCCTAAGACAGTACTGTGATACAATTGTCCTGAGTGCCAAGAAGTGAACGCCGAGAGGGTCACCCTGCAAATGACCTAGAAGGGAGCAACGGGAGAAATATAAGGCTTCCTTCCCTGTTAGGTGGCCTGTCTGAGGAAAGAGTTTGCACTGAATTTCCAATTGTTTACTGGTCTGTTCCCACGGTTTGTTTCGCTTACCTGTTTAATCCTAACTAGTACCACCTGCCCCGGGGTGGCTTCCGCAGCAATCAACAATCGAGAAAACGCGCCACCAATATGTTCCCAGGCCAGTCTCAGCTGAAGTTCTCTCTTCTTAGGCAATTTTACTTTGGGTCGAGCTGGCAACACAAGCAACGTGAGGTGCCAAGGTGGACGCCTTTAGGATAAAGGAAGTGCTTAAGAGTAGATATTTACTTTATCTTGCATGGAGTGCCAATAATGGATTCGGAAAGAGCGGGACGTGGCTTCCACGGGTCCTAAAGGGTGTGGGAGTGTTCTGGCTGCAGGGAAGGTGGCATGAAGGCGAACCATGAACGTTCTGAGGAGCCTGTTTTCCAGGCCGGTTCTTACTAGGCACCACATAGCTATGTCCAGTGGGCCAGTTCTGTTTCTAGGTGAAGGTTCTGGGGGATTTGAGACACACATTAGCCTGGTACTGAGACTGTGATAGGAATGCCAGATGTTTCTGGATCCAGCTACTGGACTCTCGTGGACTCAGGCATGTGAGCCATGAATGGTGGTGGGCTGTGTGTCTGCTGAAGAACGGAGTCCCGTGGTTTTGGATCATTCTTTGCATCTTTCCACTGCCAAGTACATGGTTATGATGGTCCCCTAGGGAGTCCTCTCCGGTTTATAGGAAAATTCTGGTCTTTGGGGTCTTTTGGAGAGTGACAGCTACTCAGAAAGCAGCTGTGAGCATGGAAGAGCAAGGAGGCTTTTGTTTACTGCCTGGGCCCTTATATACACTCAGTGTTGTGTCTTGGTTAGCTGGAGACTGAAAGGGGACACCCTAGGCCTAGCATAGACTCACAGGGGCTCTTGCTGCATGTATTGTGGCTTTTGGAAAGAATTGTGGATAGATCATGCTTCTGGGAGAACCAGGGAGCTGCGATCCACTCAGTGGATGAGGCGGTATGGGGATGTGGCACAGCCTATGGAGAAGGGCGGAAAGCGCCACGTGCCTCGCGGAAGCCCCCAGCAGCGCCCTTTTTAGGGAGCTTTAAAACCGCGCTGGGTCTCCTGTTATTGAAACAAAGGACATGACCAAGGTCACCTTGCCAAGGTCATTTCAGACCCAAGGGGGCAGTTATACTTTCTGCATTTTTGATTTATTGTAATTTGGTTGGTCTTTGTCCCACCCCCAACAATATTCTCCTCCTCCATGCCCTCTTCTTCCTTCTCCTTTTTTTCCTCTTTCTTCTGATAAACAGCGTTTCACCTGCCCCAGATTATATGAGTTCCACATAGGGCTAAGGTTGAACTTAAATGCCTTTGTTTAAAAAAAATATTTATTTGTATTTTATGTGTATGAGTGTCTTGCCTGCATGTATATCTGTGCACTATATACATGCATGGGCAGTGTCCACAGAAGCCAGAGAGGGTGGCAGATCCCCTGGGATTGGAGTTACAGATAATTGTGAGCCTCCATGTGGGCGTTGGGAATCAAATCTTGGGCTTCTAGAAGAGCAACACATAAATCTTAACATCGGAACCGTCCCTCTCTCTCCCGGACCTCGAACTCTAGATCCTTCAATGCCTTCACCGTCTAAGTGTTAGGATTGCAGCAAGAGCTACCATGTGCAACATTATTTATTATATCTGTTTATTGTGTGTGCGTGTCTGTCTTTCTGTCTGTCTTGGGAGACAGGGACAGATGGCTGCGTTGGAAGGAGGGACCTCACAGCTGTTGGCTTCCCCTGGACATTCCAGGCACAGTGGCCACTGTGCAAGCCCTCTCCAACAACCTTGGTGGCCTCTTTGCTGTGGATCCCATGGCTGTGTCCGTGGCCTGAGATGAGCCCTGATGCTACAGAAGGCCAAGGACCACAGCGCCACACGGAGGCACAGTGAGTAGCCTCTGTTCCAAACAATTCTGCGAGCCAAGAAAGTGTTCCTGCAGATAAGCATGCAGTTAGTCTTGCATGAAGAGGCCAGCCAGGGCTTGCGTGTCATCCGAGGGGCTGGCGCTGAGTCGGAGAGCCTGAGTGGGTGGCTGTCCTTTGCAGCTTTCCCTGTACGTGTGATTTTAGATGGTTTCTCAAGACTGTGGTCAGCGGCAAAAGCTGGTTTGACAGGAAATTCTGAGGTAGGAACTCTTACCTCTCAGGGCTGGCTTAGGGCATGGCCCCCTACTCTTGGCTTCCTTCCTGCCTCAGGAACAGGCTGGATGAGGCAGAGGGGTGGGTGAGATTTGTCCCATTGAGCCCTCTGCAGCCTTGCTTCGCTCTTTCCCTCTAACTGGGTCAGTATGGATTCCTTTCTCTTTCGGTTCCAGAATGGTCTTCAAAATCTACTTCCCCCACGAAGTGTTCCTCGACCATCCTGTGTGTCCCCTGCCCCCCTTGGAGTCTCCTGTGTCACCCGGAACTGCATGGCTCCCAGGAGGTACACTTGATCTTGTGCCTGGTGCCAGTCCTTTCTCTTTGCCATCCCAGCTCAGGGGGCACAGACATTGGGTTGCTTTTTTACAGCCGTCCCTGAGCCGGATCCATAAGAAGCACTGGGTTAAGTCTTTGTGGATAAGGTAGTCTTGCTGAGAATCTTTTTTCTTTTCTCTCCCTCCTCCCTCTTTGTCTATCCCTTCCCTGTCTCCCTCTCCCTCCCCCTTCCTCTCTCAATCCTTGTCACTCCATCACTCCCTTCTCTCTTTCCCTGCCCTACAGGATATTACTGTGTAGCTCAGGCTGGCCCCAACTCCCCAATCCTCCTATCTCACCCTCCTGCCACCATATCCAGCCACATTTATTATTCTCATTTGCTCTCCACGGCCACCTCTTTAAAAATGGGTTAAATTCTCCCTCCCCAGTGGATGCAAATGCTGAGGTTCAGAGAAGTCAAGTGATTGACACTTTCTATTTCTCAGCTCACCAAGGCTAGGAAACCATTGATTTCATTCAGACCACTGGTGCATGCTAGCGTGTTAAGGGGACTTGGTGAGCTGGAAGGTTCATGTAGCAGTGTGTGGAAGTGTGGTGAACCAGAAGGAGACAGGGAGCTTGCAACAGTGACATCATAGGGAGCAGTTTGTCTAGGTAGCTCTAGATTTTGTTGACAGGGACCACTTTAGAAGGGTCCTCTGGTACAAGAAGCCTGTTCTGCCCATCACATGCATAAAACACATCAGAATTGGATCTTTAAACTGGGCTTTATTCAGAGTGCTGACAATCTGGGGCGTCAGAATGAAATCTGCCTCGGCATCCCCCCCCTCCCATCTCTCGCTAATGGAGAACCAGGACAAAGGCAACAAATCAATTCAAAGTTTAGTCTTGTCCTTCGGGTCTGGTGGGTCTTGTTTTCATTATCCATCCACACCCTCCCTCGTAGCAGGGGGAAGGTTTGTAAACACCAAAGCCACTTAACTTTGCGTTCCTTCTCACCCATTTGGGTGACATCTAGATGGAAGCTTAACTCAGAACAAATGGTGAGCGGTGCGCGTGTGCTAAAATGCTTCCGGCACGCATGTGTAGACTCCTTCCTACAGAGTGATGTCCACATGCGCTCCTAGAGCATGCGCTCTTCCCCACCACTGTGGCCATATCACAGGTGTAGTCACAGGGTATCAGGCAGCAGGAAGTGGCTCTGGGGGGGTTAGGAAGGAGTAGGAAGGAGTGAGGTCATGAGCAAGGAGAGCCCTTTCTCTTGCTAGCTTCCTGGGTGTTCTCCAACAGCCCTTCGCTTTTCTTCATCTTTCTGTGATGCTGTGTCATCCCGGGAGTCCCTTCCTCCTTCATAGGACCTTGAGCAGCGCTGCTAGGGAGATTTCCTAGACATTTCTGTGGGCGTGTTCCAGCTACAGGGCACACACTGATGGCTCTTTCCAAACAGGATATTTCTCTTGCATAACCTGCTTTGGCTGCTGCTCCCAGTATCTGTTTGGCAGGGCGGCAGTGAATCTTGTAGCTGTGTCCTCTTGCTTTTTACGGATTATGTCTAGTCCTCAAGCCTAACAGCACCTACAGAATTCAAGTCCTTAGACTCCAGCCTCACTCATCTGTTTCCAGCACTTTCTAGGTGGGTTGTTGCTATAACCTGCTCTGGCCTGCCACGTCTATACACCCTCTTTTTTGTTACCTTCTAGAATCTTCTAAAACAGGGCCAACCATGGGCTGTGAATGTATCTTACACGGTAGAATGCTTTCTTAGCATGCATGAGGCCCTGGGTTCCATCTCCAGCACTGCATCAATGAGCACGCTGGTGCATACCTGTACTCCCAACATCTGAGAAGTGGAGGTAGAAAGGTCAGATGTTCAAGGTCATCCTTGGCTACAGCAAGTTGAAGGCCAGCCTGGGATTTCTGAGATCCTGCCTCAATGTTCAAAAATAAAACAAATGGCAAATCAAAACCACCGCCAACAGAGGCAGATTATGAAGTTTCTGCCTCTCTCCTCCAGCTTCTAGCTGCCTATGGAGCAACACTGAACTCTGCCATGTATAATATGCTGCTGTGTCCCTGCACACCGTGCTCTGTTGTGCCTTCATGCCCTAGGGATGCCCTCTCCAATATAGAAGAGCCCCTTCCACAGCAGCAGAGGCTGAACATTCTCACCAAATGCTCCACATGCTCTCTTTATTCTAAGATGCGCCATGAGCAGACGGTAGATGTGTGTGTGTGTGTGTGTGTGTGTGTGTGTGTGTGTGTGTTCCAGGCTCATGCTTTGATGGGCAAATCCTCCATATTTCTCCCTCTCCCTAGCAGTATGATCAGGAGGATGCCTGATGGAACGAGAGACCACTGATGTTGGCCCGAATGGATGAATCATGCAAGACATCCAGGGCGGGTCCTGGATGTTGCTGAACCTGATTAGCGTTTACAAAAGGGAAATTACCTTTGTGGTATTCAACTGTGTTACCACAGCGTGACCTAGTCTGTCCTGGTTAACACTCTCATTTTCTGCCCGTTAAAATGGCTGCCTTTAGTGGGACGTGGGGTGCAAACCTGAAACGCCATCCCTCCACCTCCCTCTCTCCGTCTCTTTTAAAATACTTATTATTTATGTGTGTCTGCATGTGTTTATGTGCACCATACGCATGTAGGTGCCAGTGGAGGTTGGAAGAGGGTGTCAGATCCTCGGGAACTGAAATTACAGGTAGGCGTGAGCCCCTGATGTGGTTGCTGGGAACCAAACCTAGATCCTCTCACTGAGAGCAGCAAGAGCTCTTAACTGCCGAGCAATCTCCCCAGGTCCCAGATGCTACTCTTCCTAAGTCTCCCAGAACCAGCCCTTTCCTAGTGAAGATTAATCCCTTTCCTTTGGGCTTTTGTAGTGTGTGCGATTTGGGTCCATTTGACACTTCATGCTTAGCGTTACGATTGCTCGGGTGTGTGCAGTGGCAGAATGGTCAGGAGATGTGAATCCTGGCATCAGACGGACTGAGTTCACCCCTCAGCCCTGCCAGTTATCAACACTGAGATCATCATTGAGCGATTCGGTCTTCTGTAACCTTGGTTACACACCCCCACCCCATCCCAGAGAGAGAGAGAGAGAGAGAGAGAGAGAGAGAGAGAGAGAGAGAGAGAGAGAGAGAGAGAGGCAGTATCTCACTATGTAACCCTGGCTGGCTTGAAGCTCACTATATAGACTAACTAAGCTCTTCTCCCAAAAGTATGGTCCTTTTGCTTCTGACCCCATCCTGGGTGCTGGTATTGCATGCATGACCCACCCCACTTGGCTGCATCTGTTCTTATAATTAAAACACGTTTCTTGCCTTAGGAAACCATTGGCCTCAGTCCAGTTTTGATGCTCTTGAGTTCACATCAGATATGGTAGGTATAAGGGCCCAGTCCCATGTGGCTGCCACCCATTTCAGATGCCACTCACAAGTCCAGGACTTCTAGCAACTGGCTCAAGATCTCAGGATCTTCACAGCCCACTTCAGGTTTGACAATTTCCTAGAACAAATTAGTAAATCACTTTATTGACAGTTACTCATTTATTATAAAGGGGACAACTTAGAATCAGGCAAGTGGAAGCTATACAGAACACAAGGTATGGGGGATGGTGTACAGAGCTCCCACACCCTGCCTGGTACCCCATCCTCCAAGCCAGGGAAAGATGCCACCCAAGTAGGCGGATCTTCCTACTTTGGTTAATACAACCAAGATGTCCAGAGGCTCAGGTTCCAGGTGATTCTAGTTTCTGAAAAGTTGACTGTTGTAGGATATTAGTTTAAGACGTGTGACATTAGTTTCTGCTGTGGGATGTTTATTTGATAATGCAAAGATGTGCTACGTTCTCTTAGGTTGCATTTGTCTAACCCTGTGAAGCTGTGTTACTTTGCCTGCCTAAAACATCTGGTTAGTCTAATAAAGAACTGAATGGCCAATAGCTAGGTAGGATAGAGAAATAGGCAGGACTGGTGGGCAGAGCTAATAAATAGGAGGAAGAAGAATGAGGAGCAAGAAAAGGAGAAGAGGAGAAGCCAGCCACCCAGCTACATAACCAACCACGGAGTAAGAAGCAAAGAAAGATACAGAATAAGGAGAGCCCAAAGGCAAAACATACAATAAAAATGGGTTAATTTAAGTTAGAAAAAGCTGGCTAGAAAAAGCCCAAGCTAAGACCAGGAATTCTTAAGTAAGAATAAATCTCCATGTATTTATTTGGGAGTTGGGTGGTGGGCTCCCAATGAATAAAGTTAAAAAAAAAAGCTACAGTTGACAGTTCATGTTTTTTCTTTTTCATCCACCGATTTTATTCTAGTTTTCCTTCCTTTCATTTGGATCAACATTTTCTACTGCTTTATTCTTTTCCCTCCTCATTTTTTGTTATGTGTTTTCCCCTTTAGTCATTGTCCTGGTAATTAGACAATGTATAATTGCATCAGCCAGTTGTCTGCTGCTTGATAAAATTCCATGACCAAAATCGACTTACAGAGGGAAGAGTTCATCTCGGCGTATGGTTCCTGAGGGATCAGAGCCCATCACGGCAGGCAGACAGGCAGGCATGGTGGCTGGAGCTGAGAGCTCACATCTTCCACCACAAGCCTGACGTACAGAGATCATGATAGAAGCGGGGCCAGGGTATAAACTCTCAAAGCCCATGCTCAGTCATGTACTTCTTCCAGCAAGGCTGCACCTCCTAAACCTACCAAACGGTGCCACCACCTGGGGACCAAGTGCTTAAATACCCAAGCCTGTGGGGTTGTTTCTCATTCATAGCATTACAACAGTGTTGATTTATACACTTATTTCTGTCTAATATCGAAGATGACAATTGTTAGTTTCGCAGTATTGTTAAAGGCTGTAGAATACTTTAGTGTTCTTTATTGCCTTCTTCTGTGCCATCAATACATGGTCCTATTTCTATACCTATATTAAACTCTACAACTATTATATATATAATATATATTATATATACTATATAATAGTGTCCTAACTGTTGGCTCGATGCCATGCTCATCAATGTCATGCGTGGATTTGCCCTTTCTGGCTCTCTTCACTCCTTCTTGCATTTCCATGTTTCTGATTAGGGTCACACACTTTCATCGTGAAGGTCTGTGACTAAGAGATTATTCTGAAGGCTGTTGTTTATCACTTTACATGATCAGCAGAAAAAATATATTGAACAAAAATAGTGTGCCTTTCTCTTTCCTCGTTTTGCTGCTCAACACATTCTCAATTAAGAACCAACATCACATTTCACTTAGGCAAAGAAGCTGGAAAAGGCACTGATTGAAATCACTGAACATAGGTGAGGGAGTGAACATATCATGTATTAGGATGCCTAGGTAATATGCAATATAACAAACATATAATCTATAATATAATAGAGAATAGAACATATACAATATATAAAAGTGAAAATGTCAGATTCATTCAGAAAAGAAAGTATATATGCCAACAGTTTTTCACAAACAAAACGAGGCACATATACATTAAACATTAAATTGTATTTAAAGAATCAAAATTATTTACCACCCAAGCAGATTGCTTCCTAAAGAGATGCCTCTGACTTCTCATTCTGTGGCTCTCTTCATCTGGACCTCCCAGATTGCCCCATCTGTGGCTTGCTTTCTTCCATCTTGCCAAGGTGCCTACCTCAATTCAATTCACCACTGCTCAGGCAAACTGTGCCGGGGCTTCCAGCCAGCCTTCTGGCTTCACCGGCACTCTGGCACTCCATAGAGAAAGCGCCTTTCTCTGTGACCCTCATTAGCATGTCTTTCTACACGTTGTTGTTCGCTGAGCTGGTCCGGAGCCTGGGAGTCTGGCTGCTCTGAGCGGTGGCCTGTGCATGGCATTCGGGTCTCCCTCTGATTGCACCGTTTGTCAGCTGTGCCTTGGTGTCCTGTACTAGGTCAAGGGAAGCGGCTGGCAAGGCTGCCTGATCTGGCAGCTGGGGCTTGAGCTGTTTTGGAGGGAAGACTGGACATGAAACCTAAGCAGCTCGGCATTCATTAAGCTCCTGTTGTTGCTGGAGCCTCTGTGGGAGAGTTCTACAGAGTGTTTCGCTGTTCCTCACAAGTCTGCAAAGAAAACACTATTATTCTCCTGTTTTGTCATTTAACTTATTTAGTGGTGTGTGTGTGTGTATGTGTGTGTGTGTGTGTGTGTGTGTGTGTGAGAGAGAGAGAGAGAGAGAGAGAGAGAGAGAGAGATAGAGAGAGAGAGCATGCATGCATGCATGCACATGTGTGCACACGAAGGTGTTTGCAAGCATGTGTGTAAAGACAACTTTGGGTGTAATCCTTCAGGCACAGCCCACCTTGGTTTTTGACACAAGGTTTCTCACCAGGACCCTGGAACTTGTCCTTTAGGTTAGACTGGCTGGCCAGATGGCCACAAGGCTCTGTCTGTCAACACTGCCCCAGAACTGGAATGACAGGTGTATGACACTGTGTCTTGCTTTTTAAAAAGTTGCTTATTTATTTTAATTTTTTAAATATTTTTTGCTCAGTGTGGTGGCACATGCTTTTAATCCCAGAGCTTAGGAAGGAGAGGAAGGCAGGTCTTTGTGAGTTCAAGGCCAAACTGGTCTACACAGTGAGTTCCAGTACAGCCAGAGCTACATAGTAAGACCCTGTCTGAAACAACAACAAATAAAATAAAAAGGATTTATTTTATTTTTGTGTATGAGTGTGACCATTTTGCCTGAATGTGTGTATGTGTACCACATGTGTTTTGCCCTTGGAAGTCAGAATAGGAAGTTAGATTGGCTGAAATTGGAGTTAAGGATGGTTGTGAACATCATGTGGGTACCAAGGGCTAGACCCGGGTTCTCTGCAAGAGCAAATGCTCTTAACCCCTGAGCCATCTCTTCAGTCCCTGCGCCTGGCTTCTTACATGAAAGGTAGGAGTTGAACTCAGTTCCTCAGCTTTCACCCCAAGCTCTTTCCTCCTGGATGCATCTTTCCTGCCTCCTCTCTTCAATTTTAAGGGAAGAAAGTCACAAAGAAGTATTCTGCCCATGAACACCCCACTAGGAAGTGCAGAGAAGATCTGGACCAGGCCTAAGTTGTGCTCTTTGCTCTAGGACCAACCTCATCTTCTAGGAGTGTCATTGTGACTGATGCTCTGTGACTCAGTGGGCGCTATAGTCTCTGAAGGAACAGGAGCTGGATAGGAAGTTGGCGCTTGCTCAGACCACATCCCTCATTTGACTGATAAAGATTCCAAGACTTGGAGCAGGTTAGGGACCACACCAGCGTCATGCTGCAGTGAATGCTAGACCCTGTCCATAATCTATTGTGTCTGATTCTCCTCTTGTCAACTATTGTACTTCTCTTGAGGGTTATCATCAGAGGACCACTCCCACGATGGAGCTTTGCCTCTCCTGTGGGCTTAGCCAGTTTTTAAATCCATGTCTCACTTTCCCCACATTACACAGATAGGTGTTTGGTTTATTTTATTTTATTTTATTTTTTTTGCCTCAGATTGCCAGTGACTGCTTTTGACTTTCTTGCTGGAACACTCACGCCTGACCATGACCTTCCTTTGTCCAGCCTGCGGTTCTCTCCCACCCACTTCCATCACTGCAGTGACAGGAAGGGATGAAAGTGTCTGCCTTGACTCCAAGGTTGGTTTTCTCTGACACTCGGCAGCTTTGGACTCTAGCCTATCTCAGGCTCAGAATGAACCTGGGAGACCGAAGCCATTCCCTAGAAGGACACTGCTTTTTGCCTCCCTTAGGGTGATGATGTCTCTCCTACTCTCCAGCACTCACAGAGACAGCATTGCTGAGGCCACAACTCAGCAACTGAGCAACTGTTCCTGGGGACAGAACCCAACCCAGCTTAGCTATCTATGCAGCAGGTGAGTCTACACAATAATGCCTTCTGTGCCTTGACAAGAGTTCACGAAAGTGCCAGGATGAAAGCATTACTGTGATGATGACTAAGGCTATGTACCAACTTGACTAGGCGAATGGATGTCAAGATAGTTGGAAGGAAATTATTTCAACATATTGTTATGTACGATCTGGAGAAGGTGCTACAATGCCACATCTTCAGTCCCGAATGAGCGAATTTATTAAATATACAGCAAGACAATGTAAACGACCAAATAACAAGAGGCAGACAGACAGTGAAGCGTCATCAAATTGGGCTCTTCACTTTGTTTCACCCATTCCCATTATCCAGTCACTCCCAAACCACCAATGCTTCCGCACGGTTACTTCCACCTCTCCAACTTTGCTGTTAAGGCTCCCTCTGCTGGAAGCTCATGTCTCATCTTTTCTTGTCTCTGCCTACTTCTCTCCTTCCTTCCCTTTTCTTGCTGACAGGATCTCATAAAGGCCAAGGTGGTATTGAATCTCCTATGTAGAGTCTGAGCTTGTACTTCTGACTCCCCGTTTCTTCCTCCTGAGCTGTGATTCTCAGTGTGTGCTAGCATGTACAGCTAGCTCTGGTTTTCAAGACTGGTCCCAAGCATCATTTGTCTTCAGCCTTTGCTGAGCTGCTTCTGTTAAGAGTCCACCATTCCCACTGTGTATGGGAGGTAGGCTGCACTTTAGAGGAAGGAATTTTAGCGGGGGGTTCCTAACAAGTGTTTACTGCTGTGTAGACTATTAGTGCAAGGTTGAACACTTGCTTTTCTTCTGGGAGTCTGTAGTCTTGGCTCATGCCATGTGAATAGTGCCTTTATGGTCATCCTCCCTCCACCCTCTGTGAGTCTGAGTCCCAAGATGCTGAAAAGCTTTCAGGTAGACATTTCACACTGCTAGGACCCATTGCCTGAGGTGTGAACTGTATCCTGCCTGATTCCACTGAGCAAAGACTCTTGGAAGCTTGTACCTACTGGCTTCAAGATGTGACTTTTCTCACTGTTAATTTTGTTTGTGCCACATTGTAACACAGCATAGCTACACAGATGAGGAGGTACTGAATCTTCCACTGAGGATGAGTTGTCTTGGGACTCTTCGCCACACATAACACATGCCTCTCGCAGATTCCTTGCATTATAACCTCATACTTTCCGGTAGTCTCGTTTATGACACTCAGTTTGTCACAAAGGGTGAGTCTGTCCCATCTACCTTGTCACTCCTCAGTTACCAGGACATTGAGTTCTGCTGCCCAGCAGAGGGTAGTCTTCTATTTCCAGATGTCAGACATCACCTCCAGAAGCCAGCGTTGCCACCCATTGCCCCGGAAGGATGTTAGGACACGAAACTGGTGTCAGGGCAGACTTGGATATCCCTTTGCTTCAGTAGTTGCTTATCCAGTTATCTTTTCTCCGGGTGATACCTCAGGTACAATGAGATCCATATCAGGCATATTTGGAAATCAGCCTAGCTTAAAAGTCTCATCCCCCACTCCTCACTTTCTTTTTCCTTTTTGAGGCCTCAAACGCACAGAGTTATGCCTGTCTTCGTCTGTCAAATGCTGGAATTAAAGGCATTGTGCCGCTACCCCAGTCATTCATACTTTTTTGGTAACTACCATGTGAACATAGCTCTCACAGATCACATATGTTTACAAGAGTGACCCCTATCAAGATGGCCAAACCTGTGACTTTTTTGGGGTGATACTTGTGTGTGTGTGGCATATATGTATGCAACATGCATGCACACATGCCACAGCATCCATGTTGTCACAGGGCAACTTGTGAGAATTTCTTTGTTCGTATCACATGGCTTCCTGGGATTGGACTGAGATTATCATACTTAATGACAGGTGCCTTTATCCACTGAGCTGTCCTGCTGCCCCAGATGGTATTCTTACCAGAGAGTATAGTGCTCCCAGTGAGATGAAGTTGATTAATTAGAGGTTACTTGTGCTATGACTAGTATGTTTGGCAACAAAGTTGGCATGCATCTATTGCTTTACAACCATGTGTATACATTGAGCATTAACTGGTCTTAATTGAGTTGAGGAGGAGGAAGAAGAGAAGGAGATGAAGTTAAGATGGGGTAGGTGGGGGACATGTAGGAGTAGTGAGGGATGAATGTAACCAAAATACATTGTATCATATATATAATTCTTTAATGATAGATACATTTTAAAGCCTGGCGTTGGTGGCACACCCCTGTAATCCCAGCACTCAGGAGGCAGAGACAGGCAGTTCTCTGTGAGTTCTAGGCCAACCTGGTCTACAAAACAAGGTCCAGGACAGTCAGAGATGTTACACAGAGAAACCATGTCTTGCGGGGGGGCGGAGAATAAATACATTTTGAAAACTTACAAATTGTCATATGATTTTTTTTATGAGACAGGATTTCTCTGTAGTTTTGGAGCCTATCCTTGAATTAGCTCTTGTAGACCAGGCTGGTCTTGAACTCACAGAGATCTGCTTGCCTCGGCCTCCCGGGTGCTGGGACTAAAGGTATGCACCACCACTGCCTGGCTTGACATATGATCTTAACATAACCAAACTCCATGACAGCTCCCAGTGATCCCTGAGTCCCATGTTCATGCCTCCTCACTAGGCTATGGAGGTGATTATGACTTCTGAGGCTAGCTTACAAAGTCTGTGACAGCTTCTGTTTCCCTCTCTTACTCCAGGCGAGCCAGCTGCTGTGTGGTGAGGACGTGTAAGAGGACCATGTGGTTGGAAACCGAGATCTCCTGCCAGCAGTTGTAGGAGTACGGCCAAGCAGTCATGTGATAGATAACACTACCTTGAAAGTGAAGTCTTCAGTTCCGTCAAAGCCTTCAGAGGAACATAGCCCTAACTGGCCTGGACCAAACATTTTCATCTCTCTGACTTTATTTTCTCAGGGCTGCTCTGTAACTTGCGAATGGCTTCATTCTCCTCCCCCCCTTCTCTCTGAAGCAGGATAGTCTTATGTGGCCCTAGGTGTCCTCCAGCTCACAGAGATCCACCTGCTTCTGCCTCTTGAGTGCTGGGATGAAAAGCGTGTGACATCACCCGGCTCATTTTCTTTTTTCCTGTATCATTGGAGGTAGTGGGATTTATTCTAATTTCTTTCCCAGCACAATCCCGTGTTGATTCATTTACAAACCCAACATTTCCACTTGGTCAGGCTTGCAGTCCCTCCCCCACCCCCAGGGATTATTTCCATCCTTTCTGCAGATAATTATGTATTTCTCAATAACACCGGATATTTACTGCCTGTGATGTACTTAGAAGGAATGACAAAGAGGAAGAAATCATAGATATTTTTTTTCATTCCTTTTCTTTTTTTGTAGATGTATGATATGAGTGTGTGTGGCTACACACACACACACACACACACACACACACACACACACACACTGTGCATGCAGTGCCCGAGGAGGTCCTTTCAGAACATCAGATCCCCTGAAACTGGAGTTATACGTGTTTGTGATTGTGAACCACCACGAGTAGGGAACCGAACCTAGGTCCTCTGCAAGAGCAGCAAGTGCTCTTAAGCACTGAGCCCTCTCTTCAGCCCCTCATGTCCCCTTCTGTTTTATGGCTTGTGGTACTTCCTCCTGAACGTTTATAAAACGGGAGCTATCTTTACTGAAACCCAGTCTCATGACTTCCCAAAAGTAGATGTAAAATGCTTTCTGGGAAAGGAGGATGCCTTCCGCACAGGGCAGTGCCCAGGCGACTGACTTCTATATACCAACGTCTTCCAAGATCTGTTCCTGGAAAACAAAACAAAATAAAACCTGGAGCCATATTACTGAGGTATTACTCAAAGGCTTGAGGTGAGAAAACTTGGGGAACAGCAGACTAAACAGAGTTGAGTGAGTTCTAATTACACCAGGTCTTCCAGGAGTGACTTCCTATCCTTGTGTGGGGACTCTAGTTCACACTTCAAACCTTCTTGTCCATCCCTCATTTCCCTCTCAGGGCCACGCTGCAGCACAGCTTCTTCATGTAAAGCATTCCACAGCGTCTTCACAAACTACTGGAAGGCCTATCAACCAAATAAACATGTAACCCCATCTGATCACGCACAGTGGGGCCTGAAAGCGGGTCACCTCATTTCAAACTGAAGACACTCGGGTTCACAAAAGGTTAGGTAGGCAGTTAGCACCTGTGGTAAGCGGCTGCTTTGGGAAACATAGAACCGAGGCAATCCTTCTGGCTAAATAACCCAACCTGATGGCAGTTGCGTTTTTCCTTGGCGAGACCGTGGATTTAACATCATCACTCTCCTCTCCCATACCTAGGGTACTGTGACTCTCACTCATTGCCTTCAGCCCTTGTAGATCGCACTGTCTGCACAATACTTCTGGGCTCCTAATTCATCATCGACCCACGTCCCCTCTCTCATGTCCAGTCCAACTAAAGTACACTGCTAGTTTCTTGGCTTTTATTTACTTAAGGACAAGCCAAACAGGCCCCAAGGCACATCCTTTTAAATTTGAGTGTATGATTGTTCTTTATATTCCATCAGGAGGTGAGCGGAAAGGGAAGAGGGCCACATCTTGGGGTACCGAGAAGACAACCGCGAGGGAAAGGGAGGCTGGTGTGGCGCCCCCTTGCTGCACCCCCAATCCCGAAGGTGCAGATTCCCCAGAAAAGGCGCGACCCACAGTCCCAAGACAGAGCCTAGCGAAGAGTTAGACAGTACGAGGATTAGACGCCACGGAACGCACAGCACCAGCGAAGGGAAAGCGGGACCGGAAGTGAGCGGCGGGCGGAAATCCTCCGCAGGAGCTTAAGCGTCCTCTCTAGGAGTGTGGAGGTCTCAGCATCTTCTTGGTTCCGTGGCGGAAAAGAAGCGCTAGTGAAGCTCCTGGGACTCCCTACGTTTGGTGCCGGTGCACTCCTGTCTGACCTACCCGGAGAGGATGGGGGACTAGTGTCATTACTGCTCAAAACAAAACAAAGCAAAACAAAAACATCGACGATACCGGAGCACAGTAGGGCTAACTCGACAACAGTTCCGTACCCTTCATTCCCTGAATATATATACACACAGACACATAATTTTATTTTAAATTATGTGTTTATGTATGCACACGTATTTTAAAATTTTTATATTTTATTATGTGTTTGTGTGTGTGCACACATGTTTAAATTTTATTTTTAAGTGTGTGTGTGTGTGTGTGTGTGTGTGTGTGTGCACGTGCTGGTACTCTAGGAGGCCAGAAGAGGACCCCTGGAGCTGGAGAGCAAGAGTTATATGTGGTTTGTGGCCACGTGGTGTGGGTGCTGGAATGAAACTCAGATCTTCTGTAAGGGGAAGGGAGTCTATTTTTCATGCGACACCCGGAGGAAAACACTCATAGTCATAATAATCATAAGAGCATAATAATAATAGTAATAATTTCATCTGTGAAGCCTCTTGGATTTGAACCCAGGCTGGTGCTGCGCTTCTGCTCTGGACTCTTCTAATAGAACCAGCCTCTTTGTCCCCTCACATCCTGGGCATGAACCGGTACAGCTGTCCTTCTGCTTCCTTCCCTGACCCCACCCAGTGGCTCATCTGTTGGTTCAGTTTCAGGTTAGCCAACTTTTGTATGTTATCTGTATTTTCTAATCTAAAAATAGGGACAGTTGATGCAACTGTAACTGCCAAATCCAGAGAAGATAGAACTGTCTGAGTTTAAGAATGTGTGACATCCCATACAAGAAAGAGTGTAGTGAATCTAGTTTATCTGGGCAGTGGGTTGTCAATATGTCTAAACGTCTTGAGGAGCTGCTTGACATTTTGGAGCAAAATCAATTAATGTGCACATCATTCTTACTCATGGCTTCCCACTTGTGGGAAATTTATTGGAAGCAAACAATACAAGAGAAAGGAAAAGCTACATTTCTGAAGTAACTGAAAAAGCATTATTAGAAATTCAGAAAACAAGGCTGAAGATGAATCTGTTCCTAGAAATCATGTGACCACACGTGGCAGAGAGTCTTTAGACTTGTTTTCTGAATTTCCGTGTGCTTTTCCTGTTTGTAGCTTCTCTTCCCGAGCAGATTAGAACATTGTTATGAAAATAGCCATTCTTTCCATACAGATCAAATTTTCCCTCAAGATAACAGTTATCATTCTACGAGCCCAATAATTCCAGTCCAGAAATTTATACATATGAGACAAAGTAGAGAGGGCTCCCTTCTTCCCTCTTCCCTCCCTCTCCTTCCCCCTCTGTGTGTGTGTCTGTGCATGTGTGCATGCATACACACATATGTGTGGAGGCCAGGAGTCAATGCCAGGTCTAGTGAGCTCTGGGATTTGCCTATCTCTACCCTTCCTTGAAGTTCTGGGATTACAGATGTACCACCATGCCTGGCTTTTATACAGGTATGGGGAATCCAAATTCAGGTCCTAAGCTTGTATGGTGATCACTTTGCCTACTGAACCATCTTCCCAGCCTAAGGGGGATCTTAAGATGCAGCAAGACAGTTTCCTCATTAGGTGCTCTGAGACGTGAATAAGCCCTTTCTAGTGGGTAATGATTATCTTCTGATGCTGATGTTGGACAAATGACATTGGTATTCATTTCTCCTCCACACAAAACTTCCTTGGAAACATGTCTGTCTGAAACTCAAAAAGTCTTATACTTGGAAAAGATGGATTAGAATATGAATTTAAAAACACACATAGTGTAAATCTCTGTAGTATGAATTTGAATTTATATTAACAATAAACCCAGAGTCAGATATGGGTGTTAATGCTTAAGATCAGAGAAGCAGAGAGGCCAGTCACTAGAGAGTTCTTTTGCCTCTATTAATGCTCAGACCAAAGGGGTAATCCTGTCCTCAGATTGCCTTGTCAGACTGCAACTGTCTACCAACCCTCAGACTACATCTGTCTCTACCAACTCTCAGACTACATCTGTCTCCACCAAACCTCAGACTGCAACTGTCTCACCAAACCTCAGACTGCAACTGTCTCCATCAAACCTCAGACTGCAACTGTCTCACCAAACCTCAGACTGCAACTGT